CGTGACAGGACTGACTGAGGCCTAACCAGCAGTCTCCCCTCCTTCAGCCTCATCATGTGTGTTCAATTACCATAGCAAGACTGCACCAGAGCAATGTCAACAGATGCACAAATACATCTATCAGACTATAATCTGACATTTAAAAACATGAGAAGCATTTTCAAGGTAACACGTAGAAAATGTTTCAAATTCATTAACAGTTTCTCCTCCCTATGGGGTGTGAAATCGTCATACTCCGATGCTATATCCGGATATGTGTGGGATATTCGCTCTATGTGGCCCATAATCCGCATAAAAGGCAGCAGGGAATTTCTCTCCCTGATCGCTCACTCACAGAATCCCCTTTGTTTAGTAATTCAGTCCCACTGTCCTGTCTGAGAGGCTCACTCCTCTTCTGAGGTAGATGTGTTAATATTGTGTGACAGTAAACCTGCTGTCCATCTGCTTCTTCTCTTCTTCTCTTCTTCTCTTCTGTTCTCTTCCTCTCTTCCTCTCTTACTGAAAGCCTGCATACCAGATCCAAAATTCAATTATCTCCAACAAGTTCCCTACTGTTTACATTCAATCAGCTCCCAATTGTCTGCAAGAAAGCAGAAAAGGATAGTGAATGATAAGTAGTCAAGCACAGAATTAGACTTATAGACCTTGACTAAACCCACTAATCTCAGAATGCATTCTCACCCACTTAAGCATGACCTTTGCTCTTCCACTGGCCTCAACTGTGACCGGTCAACACTTCCGACTCAGCTTCACTACTCAAACTAATCCCTGCTCCAATAGATTTGACTTCAAGTTTGTGCAAAGTTTTTTAAAAGCAATTAAATACTGTAAATAATCATCTCACACTTTCCAAACCATTAATTAGAGCTTATAATAAGTCTCTATGGGGGCCCTCATTAGGTCTGATTGTTGTCTTTCAGCCACAGTGAGAGAAAATAATAATTATTTGCCAGTGTTTGCTCAGTCTGACACGTGGCACGGCAAAGTGCTGCCAGGTTTGGGTTAATCCACAGCTCCAACGGCCCAAGGGGCACCTCGCCATAATGGAGAATGGCATGCTGGGTCCACCTCCATGATGCCCTGCCAGAGGGCTCCGTCTGGTTCATGATATCAGCCTGCTCAACCCCTTCTTGCTGTGACTCATTAACAAGCTCAGGTCCCAGGGGGGGTCCCATCTGTGTGCCACCTGTACAAAATCACCACCAATAGCAACATTTAATGCAGGACACCACTCACTTTTGTTTCAGTGTTTCCCTCATGCATATCACTGAAGTCACTGTTGTGTCTATTCACTTATTTCCTGCCTTTTCTTCTGTCTCTCGTTCTCTGCGCCCGCCTCTCTCTGTCTGTTATGCAGAAATTATGGGAGAACTGATTAATCCTCCAGCTGTAATTGAGGCAGAGGTTTGTGATGCTGATTTTACAGCGACACATTTTTACAAGACTTTCCAAGATTTTCATGACTTTCCCAGACGTGCAAATGGGTAAGGGGTAATAGATTGTTAATGTTCAGTTGTTATGTATGAAATACATGAATATCTTGATTTGAGAAGGTTTAATGGTTATTTATTCAATATTTTAGGTTGATTGTATCCTCTAAAATGGCTGTAATAAGGTTTTAAAGTTATAAACCTTAACATCGTCATTTTGTCAAACCCCAGTTTTGATGCATTTAGTTGCTCTAACTTTCTCAGTAAAAGCCATTAAAGGCATTTGCATTCTGTAATGGGCTCACTATTTAGTAGATTTCACTGTTGGTGGTGGAGTCTGCCTGTCCAGCGCAGAATCCAGCACAAGGGATTGACAGGAAACCAAGGACAACCCACCAGTTTTGCCAGAGGAGGGGTCACCTTTCATCAGATTGTGGGTGGATATTTATCACAGTCCAGCTATTTGAAGAACAGTACGGGGAGACCACACAAGAGCAGCTAACAACAGTTTATTTTTAACTAACTAAAAGAGAAAAGAGAGTACCTAAATGAAACCAAACTGAACAATGTGGTATACTGAACAAAACCCAAATGTAACCAAACCCAAACAAACAGTGGAAGCCAGTGTGGAGACAAAAATTCCCCTTTCAGACATGGAATCTGAAACATTTCTGGCTTAATCTAAACACTAGATGTAACAGGAAGTCAGACCAGGTGAGCCGAATTCTACCTGATGACCTGACTCTGCCCTCCTGTAAGGTGAGACATTAAATTGGAAGCCATCCACAGAGGCTCGCCACAAGCTATTTCCCTTTTTAAATGACCCTCCTTGTGTATATGTAGCCTGGTGGCAGAGCTCTGAATGGTTGCACCTCAAATATAGTGGTCCCTGTAGGCCATTTACCACTATCGGGCTGCCTCATGTGGAATAGTTCATTCTCAACAAAGTAACATTGCCATGATTCTACTGTAGCCATGTCTATATAATATTGGAATAAAATCAACAAGTAAGTTGAATATGAAATATTTTTTATATATAACTTCAAGAAAAAGTTGGCACAGACACAAACTGAAATTGTCCTTCACTAAGACCACTGACTAGTGTCAGTGTGACCTGCTAATTCCTATGACATCTGCTACTCATCCTCTCCCACTTAGACAAAGTAGATAATCTTCAGACACAATGGACAATCTAATCAAGTGGAATTTTTGGGAATCCTGTGCACTAACTGACATTGTTTCATTTGATAATCATATTCACATGGCTTATGGCACATAGGCCACATGGCCTATTCACTGGAGAAATCAGCACAGTTATTGCATGTCCAGAAATCCTCCAAGAAGACAGATGTATAACTTAAGACTTATGAAACAGTGACTCATTTAATCTGTAATACATCCAACTGTTCCAACAGTTCACTCTTCGCTGATTTGCAGCGCTGCCAGTGAGCTCAGTGTTGCCAGGCGGAGAGAGGAAAGAATAATGGCCCTCATTTCACCTTTTCTTCGCTATGCATGGGTTCACCACTGGAGGAGGATTTTACTTTCTGTCTGAGTCTCAGAGGAAGATATAAAAGGCCTAAAAGGACCATTCACTGTAAAAGTAATGGCCCAGAGCAGAGTTGTCTGATGTTAGTGTCTTGTGTTTTTCCATTAGATGCTAAATTTCCAATAATATTAAGACAAATGTTTAGCAGGAGTTTTGAGTTACAAATTACTTGAGTACTAACATATTCTCAGATAGAGGTAAACATATTGGTATAAACTTAAAGCTTAGAAGTATTACATTCTAAATATTACTAAAACAAAATTATTGATTGAAAGAGATTGCTTTAATAATGAAAAAGAAAAAATACACAAAAGAGGACATAAAATTCAAAGTCACTGCACACATTCTGACACAATGCTGATGGAAAGAAAAGTTAATATACTGTAATAGGCTACAAAATAAATTCAAAATTTTAAAATAGAAATTTGAACTAACAGGAATGTTCTTCCACCTTTATATCTGAATAAAATGAAAAAAGCACCTGTCAACCTTGATATTGTGAATTTAAATTAATAGACCCTGGTTGCTATGGGCTACAATAATTTTTTTGTGTTAATGTGCATGCTGTGAAGGCTTGCTCAGTCTAGTGCCTCCCAGAAGAGGATTAACATCGCCATCTGTTGATGTAACGGAGCCATTACAGCTGTAACCTAAAGCCACTGAGACACACACAGTACTTGCTGAATCCTTATTCAGTGTGTTTCTCAAGAATGTAATTACTGATCCAAGTGATTGTATTGGACGTGCCTTAAAATGGACCAAATCACCTTATTTTTAACTTTTCTCCTTATCGTCTGTGCCAGTAGTTTTGCATTTTGGCACCAATTGGCTACAGGGAGTAGCCAGGTCTGTAAGAGTAAACCGCTCATGATGGTTTGTCCAATTAATCCTCCAGCTAATCCTCCTCCAGTGTTAACAAGGCACAGCAGGACATCGGTTCAGGATGATCAGCCTAGCCAAGACACTGCCAATCACAGCTCCCATCCCCACAGTGCTGGACTGTGGACAGAGTGTGCTTAGCTGCTAATGAAGACCCTAGCAGCTGCTGGCTAGTGATAAGAAAGGGGAGACCTTCAAAGTCTCAAATATATATCATTATAGCCAGTGAGCTACCCAAAGAGCCAGCTGGGGGTGAGGAGAACTCACAGGCTAGGACTTACTGTGGTTTGCAGAACTCACAGTAATGAAAGGAGGAATAGGGCCTGCATGAGAGGAAGGCACAAAAATAGTGGAGAAAATGTCCCGAAGATGAAACTGTCCAGTAGGCAGTTCTGATTCTAGTGTTCTTGTTGTAAGAGTGTAGAAATTGCTGACACAATGTGGTGCATTAGCATAGCATAAACTGTATAAGCAAGCACGGCTATACATGGAACACAACACCTTATGTCCTGAAAAGAGAAAAAAGGGCAACAGCATGTAAAATACTTCATTCTGAGTCAGATAAGCCCACTGATATATACACAGACACTGTCTCCTATAAAGCATGACTATAACTCTTGAGAAAACAAGCAACACATTCTTCCTATTAGAAAGGAAATGTTGAATTCATGAGTGATAAAATGCATCGTTGCTCAATTTAATACAATTGCTGCTACTTGCTCTGGTATTACCACTAGCTTATGCTGTTTTTTGTTTATTCTATTTCAGGGCATTCATTCACGGTAACTACTTAGGCGTCTTATATCAGGAATTAATGGACACCCTGCAGCCAAGCCCATACCATGATATAATACTGTATAACGGACATTTCTATGTCAGTTTGCTGACTTTATGACTCTTTTCCATACTACCTAAACAGTAGTAGTTTAGCATTATCGTAGCTATAACTGTCACCTATAGCCAGTAGCCGCTGGCCTAACCCTAACCCCTACATAGTCATGGATATGGTACGAGAGTAAAATAATGATGGTGATTAATACTATGGTCGTCAAAAAACAGCCACTACCTCCCTGTGAGCTCAATCAACTGACCCTGTGAGAGACAAAGAAAGAGAAAAGAAACAATGTTGTGGGACTTCGTGGGACAGTTTCCATTAATTTAATTCCCTGCAGTAGTCAAAGACACAGAGCAGAGCCCAGAGGGACCAAAGGGAGCAGTGGATGATTTATTGCAAGAGGGCTGAAGGAAGGAAACTGACCTCTTAGTGACAAAAACATTGCAGCTGCAGGTGCAGTTTTGTCAGGTATGGGTTACCTCCATGACAATACAGTTGCAGTGGGTGGCTCTTTTTTTGCAAGTTTAAATAAGAATCACCGAAATATCAGTACTGGGTGAACTAGATTTAACTTAAGGAGCCCAGGAATGTAGAAATTATCAAAACAATTAACTAAGTATCTACTGGCAAGTTTTCCTCTCTGATGTTTAAAATTGCATGATGAGCCATTTGTTTCGTTTCCATTTGTTCTTTCTGTGACTTACATTGTATGGAGGAGTACAAATTTAGGAAATAATGAAGACTAACATCTTTGCAAAACATTGTCTCAATCTCCATAAAAATCACCCCTGAAAGAACATAATAAACACAATAAACACAATAAAATTGCCAATAAATTGGCATTAGAAGTGAAATCGGTTTATGAACAATGACAAGGAATAAAACACAGTTCATTGTTGTTTACAGGTTTGTCTCAGTGATTCTTCAACTGTGCTGTCTTTCCCTGTATAATATACAGTGTTTTTTGACTGAGGCTTTTACAATTAATTAAAAAACATCACAAAACATAAATATTGTCATAACTTGGTCTCCACTTTCTTTTCCTCTAAGGAGGATTTCCCACAGACAGTGATGGCTTTAAACTCCTCAGAGATCTCCAACATTGTCTTTCCTTTGGTCTCAGGCAGGAGGAAGAAGGTATACAGACAACCCAGCAGGCACACACAGGCGAACAGCACAAAGCAGTATGAGTTCAGGGCATTCTGGGACAGAGAAATAATCAGTATGAGCTTTATGTGTTAATATTTTATGGTTTTTGTCTTTCGGTACACTAAAACACACATTTGAAAGGATATTTAAATAAAATATATTAATTCTTTCATTAATCTTAGTTATAATCAATGATGTGTTGCTGCACACCAAATAATTCATACATTACTCACAATAAGGAATGGAAAGACCAGGCCCAGCACAGCAAACATCAACCAGCGCTGGATCCCCATGAGGACAAATGCTGCCAGTCGATCTGACTGGACGAATATCTCGCTGTTGAGAGCAGCTGTAGCACCCGCTGACGGCACAGCAGGTGATTCAGTTAATTATCTTTGCATAGAGACACATTTTCTATGTGAACCAGTGTTTAATGTGCTGAATTTCCTTTTTTTCCTTCCAACACTAAGCTGACTAAGGCACATACCAGGTCCTCCACAGAAGAATATGATGAAGGAGATGATCAAACTGGCAGCAATGTATGGAACCCAATAGCTGGAATCCTGTATGAAAATCAATTTGTGAGTTGATTTAGCACATTTTGCCTATATGTGAATGGGTCAGTTTCTGATTTGTTGGCAGTGTATTTTCATATTTATAATGGCATCAACCTCATCTGCTGAGGTTTTGAGATATCTGTTTTTTGAGGTTTTTGCCTTTACCCCAAAACAGTGGAGGTCAATGGAATTTAATTTGTGGTGTTCACTGGGACTATTACTTTGATAGAAAGTTCCAGTGAAAACTGTCTGTGGATTATCAATAGTAACTGGGACATTGTTTCAAGCTTTTAAGTTTATGTTTTTTTTAGTTTCCATTCACTTCCTTTGTGTCTGGTTAGAGGCAGAATTCTCAGAGACAGATATTTAAAACCTGTGCAAATAATACAAAAACAGTCTGCATAGTGTGTCTACTAGGGGTACAGAAAATGTATTTTTTTGCAACTTGGGTGAACTGATCTTTTAAAATACACACTGTAATCTTCAGGCTACAACCTGTGTCAGTATTCAAAGCTAATAGGTTTACCATCAGGTTGAGCGTGACAGTGAATAATACCCAGCTGGCGGACATGACAGCATAACCCCCCCAGAACAACGGCCTCCTCCCTGTGCGCTCAATCAGCAGTCCCTGAGAAAGAGAAGGACAAATATACAGTACATAATATACATACAGTATGTGTAATATGAGTGTTTGCACTTTGTTCTTAAACCCAACAATAATGTTTTGCAGAATACAGCTCAGTCAGCTACAGGGTTGACTTTTGTCATCCAGACTCTGACCTCGTGGCAGCAGAGAGTGACGATAACTTTCCTCCAAGGTGAAAGTAATGCTATATGAACAGCAGCAGTAGCAGCAAGTTACAGCATCGCTTTGAGGTAAGTTTGACAGCAGGTAGGACACCACCACCACCACCACCACCACCACCACCGTGTGCTTGATATGCAGTAAGTGGTAGTGAGAAAAGTGTGCTGTGTGAGTGCAGCAGAATTAACTTGTAGGCTATGCTGCATTTGCAACAGTCATGACTCTTTATTCTGAATTTCTACCATACCTCAGTGTGTATCTGGTGGGAAACGAACAGGAAACTGGTGGCAGATGCTGAACTGAACAACCAAAAAGTATCTCACAGTCTCTCCATTAACACTGCAGGAGGTAAACTAGAAAAATCAACATTACTTACACAGGAGATGGAGGTGATGATTTCAGATACTCCAAGTCCAACAGTGATATAGCGGATCTTGTCTCTTGGTATACCTGCCTCCAGGAAGATGTCAAAAGAGAAGGTACTGATCTGGGAAGGAGACAAGCAATGCTTTGATTTTGAGAGGCTGCAATCTGCATTGTTTAGGTGCCAATATTAGCCTGAAATAAGGCATTTCCATTCTCACAGCAGACATGCCCGACAGCTGGTTGCAGCAGTAGATCGTGGACATGGTGATGAGCTGCCATCGAACAGTTCTGTCCCTCAGGAGCTGCAGAGGGCTTTTTGGTGGGGCTGACTCGATGGCCGCCTGCTCAGCCAACATCTCATCCATCTCCTCTTTGTAGTCGCCTTGGCCCCACAGACTCTGGAGAGCTAGGACCAGAGACACGGACACAGAAAAAATTAGAAATGTGCTCCTTTGTTTTCATACAAAACATTAAAAATAGATAGATTTGTGTTTGAATGGGTGTCTCTTGTGCAGGGAGATAAAAATGCTATTTGAGCCAATATGTATGGGTACCACAACCTACATTGTTACACAATATATACCTTAACTTTAATTGTCCCTTCAAATTTGACCAAGATCTTTAGCATTTACTTTTGGTTTGATTTTGTGTTCATTATCTGGTGAATTTCAAGTGGTGTATTTTTTTGTGTGTTTAATACTCCGTTACAAACTGTAACAGGCTGTTTGGTCATGTACTGATGTACTGTATAAATATGGGGAAACATACCAACCTTTTTTGCAAGCCTTGTCATCACCTTTCTCTATGAATAAGTATCTGGGAGCTTCGGGAAGAAAAGGCAACACAATAACCTGAACCACTGAGAAAAACGCAGGGACACAGAGGACGATGTTCCACAGCTCCTCACGACCAAGGATCTGACTGAAAAAACAAAAATGAAGTGACAGATAGTTTAAATGTTTTTTAATGTAGAAACTTTAATCTTTATTTACACTACCTAATGTTGAGTTAAACCTCTTTTTGCACAATTCTCAAAGCTTAAAAAGTCTAACACATCTTCGTCCATTTAACTCTTCTGTTCATAAAAATGGATGAGAGACTGTGGCTTATCACTAATATTTTTTGCATTCAGTGTACATTGAGCTCTCTTATCCCCTAAAATAATCAAAATTACTGCTGTCCCATCATACATATTGACAGTGAGTGCATACCTAAGTCCAAAAACCTGTCCAGACAGTTTGCCAAGTGAGGCGAAGGTTGCAGAGGTCAGAGTCACTATGCCTCTTAATTTTCTGGGTGAAATCTCTCCCAGGTACATTAAATGGGTGCTCTGTCCCAAACCTGCAGGTCATAAGAGCGTGTTAATCAGCCAGGTAAAAACACAATGTGTATTATGTTTCTCACAGGATATGGTTTACCTGCCGAGTAGCCATACAGGATCCTTGCCACAATAATCATTTCATATGATTTGGCACCTTTACTCGTCAGCATGAACCCTGCTGCAACAATGGCAATGAAGCTGTTGAAGATCATCGCCTTTTTTCTGATGAAGGAACACACATCACTTCAAGTCTCTTTAACCAATAGGACTGAATGCTGCGTCAAGTCTCTCTTGCTCACCTTCCCAGCATGCCTGAGACAAATTTAACGCTGACGGCACCAAAGACTCCCCCGACAGCATACATGGAAACAATAAGGGACCAGATCATCGTGATGGTCTGTGGGGGTGGGGGCTCTTCATATCTGTCGTACCAGCTGCTGTTGATGAAGCGCTGTATGTACTGCAGTGAAAGTGCAATTCTTACTCTTACTTTTCACATTCAAATAGGCAACCACACACTCTCTAAGCCTCTACCAGTGACCAGGGGTGGATTTTGAGATATGTTCATGGGGCAGCAAGAGGGTGGCACGGAGACTTCAAGGAGTGGCAGAAATATATGCTGATTTAATCTCAGACAATCGGATATATCAATATATGGAAAAGCCCCAAAATGAAACAAATTTTAACTCAAAAACACTGCATTATTGGGGCACATTAGTAAGGCATTGAATAGAAATATCTGAAGTTGGCATTTGAAATCCAAAATGTTTCCAAAAACATGTATTTTTTCATTGATCTTAAGCCAGTCACTTAGTCTAAAATGTGGCCTCAACAGATCAATAAATTATACATGTCAATTTCTTTTAAATTAATCTAAATTAATATGTTAGATTTGACAGAATTTGTCCCAAAACTGGGGTGGCAAGGCACTCCTTTCCCCCATGCCAATCCTCTGGATCTGCCCCTGGCAGTAACCAGAGGTTAGGAGTTTGAAGAGAGAGAGAGGTGGAGCAACAAGCAGCATGAATAATGATGTATCTCACCGGTGAGGGAGAGCTCAGTCCAGTGATGTGGTAGCCACAATGAAAGCTTCCGCCAATTCCCAAAATGATGATGAGGATCAGAGCGTTACCCTGGGTCTGGGACAGAGCATGTTAATGAACATCAATATAAGAATAACAGATGCTTAGTTAGCAAGAACACTCATTTACATCCATAGACCCTAGGCAGGTAACGGAAACGACAACATACAGATACACAAATACAATACACAAGCAGAAAAAATAGAAAATGAATACATTAAGTGATCACAGTTCTGATTTGATTAAGACAAAGTTTGAGCTGGGTTTTAAAGTGGGATATGTAGGACAGTCCCTTATTGCAAGTGGAAGCCATTCCAATAGCTACCTTTGCTGACAGCACTGTTTGAAGTTAAACTAAGTTGAAGAAATATGATTTATGTAGAGAAAATCAAGTAATAAGTCTATGGTCTTTTTGTCATCAGTTTGTTAAATTTTTGTAGAAGGATCAGCAGACTCATTCAAACACACTAATAATAGCGTTAGTTCAAGATATTAGACTCTTGGTGAGCAAAAAGTAACTTCACACCAGGGGGAATGTACTTTTATCTGCAGATCCTAATCTGTAAGAGTAACATTGGTTGTATACCAGATCAGAAAGCATTCTAGTACAGTATTGCAGCATTACATGTTCTGTAAAAAAGGGTGTTATTGTTATGAGGGAAATATAGTTGTCAACACCAATAATAAAATATCTCAGAAAGGAAACCTGTTTTGAAGAATACAATCTTAAAAGCATAGAGAATAAACTGAACAAACAACTGTTTCAGGAGCTTGCATGCATGGTGTGCTTTTCACAGATTATGATTTCTCCTATCCTCATTCAATATCTTAATAAAAATCATACAAAATATCATAAATTGTAGTCGGGATTACTCAGCTCTAAATGTACCATACTATTTTTTGTTCAGAATGACGAGTTTAAATAATAACTCTGACAAAGTGGAATGACTCAGCTGAAACTGTGCTTTAGATGAGTCACTGAGCTCCAAGAAACTCAAAAACAACCTGCTTGCCTAAAACTCCATGTTATTATGTTTTTCCTCCATTTTCCTTCTTAATGAATGTTCCTTGGAGCTATAGTATAATGTAGGTTTATATCGTCAAAACAGCAATGTTGATAAAAGATATTATTATATACAAACATATTTTCTTACTGTCCTGTGAACATTTATATCTACCTGTATAAAAAAGACACTGTCTTCTATCAACAACAAATCCAGTAGAATTAAATAAAAGCCTACCAGCTGCTGCAGCAAAGTTTCCATTCTGTCTTTGCTGGCATGGACCTTACGGTGCACATGTCCAGACTGCATGGACTGTTAAGTATTTTAGGCTGGTTATCATTAACTTTTCAGACTTTCTGACTAGAAATAATGTAACCAGCAATCATCCTGCAACTCTGACAATGACTTCCCCCGTGTGAGTCACTATCTCAACTGGATGTTACTGTGCAGTAATGGAACAAAGGACAGGCTTTGGTTACATACTTTTATTTGGTTATGTAGGCTTAATGGGGTGCCATCCATGTACACTCAGTTTACTCAGTTTATGATTTACAAAAAAGACTGAAATCAGTCTTAATAGTGTAAATGCATATGATGTAGCTGAGCCATTTTGTAGATTTTACCATCAGCATATGTGGGTTTGTATGACGTAAAATGTCAAAGGATTACATTGGTGCTCTGGCATATTTCAGACCTTTAATGGCAAATTACGTACATAACACTACTACTGACCGTTCTCCATAGCACACATTAAGTTTAGGCTCTTAAATGTGTTTCTGCTGCAGGCAATTTCTGTCTGTTCTTCTATTTTTCCCATTAAGGGTCAGATTGAGTGTTGAATCCTATCCCAGCATGCATAATGTCAAAATACAGACTGACACCAATTCCCAAGTACATACGACATACTGATTCTAAGCAGGTTTTCACACATTAAATAAGTCTTTGGAAACATTTTTCTTTGTTGTATTTTTAATTGACATCCTTACTATGAAACATTAACTATGATATTTATTATATAGCAACTGCAAAAACAGTAGGCGATATAGCAAAGACGAGTACAGGCTCGCACATACTGTGTATAACCAGCTGTACACTGTGTACGATTAGTGTGTGGTATGGAATTTGGACAGAGGTGTTGTTCATACTCATGACCAGCAGGGGGCAGTGAATGATAACCTGGTTATTACTGTCAGGCTGCCTCCGCTCTTGTCTCCCCTCGCCGACTGACGCTCCGCCGGAAGCAACACTGTCCAGTGTTTTCCGTAGTCATCGTTGACTAGCTGGTGACGGCGAGTAGTGCGCTGTGTCTACACAAAGAAAGCCTTCAGTCTGTACCGTTGGGTCTATATTTTGTACTAAAAATGCCGCTAGAGAATCTAGAGGAAGAGGGTCTGCCCAAGAACCCCGACCTGAGGATAGCACAGCTCAAGTTTCTGCTCACCATGGACGGTCACCGACAGGACGCTAAAGTGAAGACGGAGCTCATGGACGCTATCAAAGCTAACAGTGAGTTAGCATATGGTTGAGCTATGCGACGTGTTGACGGTCGCCCTCACAGCCTGCTCACTGTGTACACGGTGCTGGCATAAATATACGCGCTAAAGTTTCCACTGCATAATTGTCTCAAACCTGCGGGCCAAATCCACAACAACCGAGCATCACAGCGACGTTAGCACGCTGGCTAACTTTATTAGCAAACGTCATGGAGCTAACGTTAGCCTGCAAGCGATGTGACGGACGTTTGTTAAACTAATAATAACACCACCAGATATATTCAAATAATGCTTTATTTATATAGTCTTCTACTGGAATCTACAGCGGGCTACACTAAGAAATAAAGTAGTATTATTTTGTAGAAGAATCCACCTGAAACCCGTCTGTGTAATCGGACGTTCGTCCTCAGCTTAAACAATCTTGGTGTCTCTCTGCTGCAGATATGGCCCCGTACTACGAGGGTCTATGTAAGGACCTGAAGTGGCAGCTGGACGGTGACCTGCTGAGTAAAATGAAGAAGGCCAACGAGGAGGAGCTGAAGCGCCTGGATGATGTGCTGGAGGATGCAGAGAAGAACCTGGGAGAGAGCGAGATACGAGACGCCATGATGGCCAAAGCTGAATATCTGATCAGAATTGGAGACAAGGTAAGTCCTCCTCAGTTAGAAACCATTGACAGTATATATAGGGTTAGCCAGGTGTGGGTGTTATTTGATGTGTTAATGTGGTAAGTATATCTGCTCTGTCGCTGTTTGACACCATGGAAGGTGTCATTGAAGTGTCAGTTATAATCAGTGTGCAGTGATATAACTTAGACATTGCTTTTAGGGTGCAGGATTTATTACTATTTATTTGATTAGACTGGCTTTAGAAAGCCTAACCCTAACATGACACCATGAATATGCGTCTACACATCCAGGATAAACTCTGTGGCCGTATTATTGGGAGTAATACACAGTGCTTGCCCGGGGTGTCTGCAGGTTCTTAACAAGTCTTAAATCCAATCATCTGAATGTCAGGCCTTAACATTTCTTCAATATGTTTTGACAGGTCTTAAAAAAATGATAGAATTAATTAAATTAATGTTACTTGTATAAAGTTGCATTTTTCAGTTTCTCTTTTAAATGTGTGTTGGGGAAACCAGTGCACATTTCCCTTTCATATCCTTCATACTTGCCAATATGGATGTAAAATACATTTTAAATTGCATTTATAATGTCTTAAATTAAACCTGTTGAAACCTGCAACAATCCTGTTACCCCATTTAACACATAATCATCTGAGTTTGTGAAAATCATTCTTTTCTTTATTTGTATTGTAATGGAATGAGTTAGCGCCACACTGAGAATAACTGTAATTGGTCATCCGGTGTGTACGTTGTTTGTGTGCGCAGTAGGTCAGTAAACAAGAAGTCATACAGTTAGTGTCATTTATCTGAGGGCCTGAGGTGTCTTCCTGTCTTTGAAAATCTAACTTTTGTGCATTTCACTTTATTAGCAGTAGGAGTTTTAGTGCCGTTGCAGTAGATTACAACATTTTGTATTGTGACCATTGTGGATGAGTACATCATGGTGTTAGTCCTGTAAAGAAACCTCATTAAACTTAAAAACAAGCTTGTCTCCCTAGCCCAGACACAGTCCTATTTTTATTAGACAATGGACACAATTCATAACATAAAACATGGTATTTGTGCCAGGTAATATCACAAACACTTTATCATGTTAATTCTAAGTATATTTTTCAAGGAAAATATCACCCACTTTTTTTTCCTGTTCAGTAATGTGGCTTTGTATCAGGACAGAAATCGTAAGTGCTTCTGAAGCACTCTCCAGCATGTTTGCCTGCCGCTGACTTTTATTAAAGCAAGTGGCACTCTCTTACTCCACTACACATAATATCAGCATCTCAGTAGTTTGGATGACAGATAATCTATATTCTTTTAGATGCTCTACATCCCACATAGTGACAGACATTATGGCAAAGTGGTTGACAGTTTCTTTCAGGAATAGTATAGCACTAACAACAGTTATATTGGTAAAAACTGTTGTATATATTTTTAAAATAGTAGCAGATTCATTGACTTTGTCTTCATTTCCACAGGAGGGTGCCCTAACAGCCTTCAGAAAGACCTATGACAAGACAGTGGCTCTGGGTCACAGACTAGATATCGTCTTCTACCTGCTGAGGATCGGCCTCTTCTACATGGATAGTGACCTCATCACACGCAACTCGGAGAAAGCAAAGAGGTAAAGGCTGCGATATCCACCATCGGAAACATTCCCACCAACTGCTTCAGTTATCTTTTCAGCACTCATCAGCCAATGCCTCTGTCTCCACAGCCTCATTGAGGAGGGGGGAGACTGGGACAGGAGGAATCGTCTGAAGGTCTACCAGGGCCTGTACTGTGTGGCCATCAGGGACTTCAAACAAGCTGCTGAGCTCTTCCTCGACACAGTCTCCACCTTCACCTCCTACGAGCTCATGGACTACAAGACCTTTGTCACCTACACCGTCTATGTCTGCATGATCGCCCTCAAAAGGCCTGACCTCCGTGAAAAGGTAGGAGACTGCGTGCTCACAAAAGACTACTGAGGAAGTTTGGGTGTGAATTTGTGTGAAATGTGACTGCAATTACATGTGTTCCTCTCCAGGTAATAAAGGGAGCAGAGATCTTGGAGGTGCTGCACAGTCTGCCTTCTGTTCGCCAGTATCTTTTCTCCCTCTACGAGTGCCGTTACTCTGTGTTCTTCCAATCTCTGGGTGAGGAAGCTTTTTCTATTATTGACCTAAAACCATTGAAAAAATACTTTTAATCTGGTCACTTGTAGAGTGTTATTTAGCTTTTTATCAATACAAACTCATGAAGTTATTTCTAGTCTATCTTTTATAGATTCCAATATTGAATTTGTGAGAGTAGGATTTTATTCAGTTATTATGTGTTCCATGCTGCTGTATTTTTGCAGCCACATCATGAGAAACTTTGTTCTTTTTGTGCCACAGCCATGGTGGAGCAGGAGATGAAGAAGGACTGGCTCTTTGCGCCACACTACCGTTACTATGTGAGGGAGATGAGGATCCAGGCCTACAGCCAGCTGCTAGAGTCCTACCGCTCCCTCACCCTGGGCTACATGGCTGAGGCCTTCGGTGTCAGCACGGAGTTCATCGATCAGTGAGTGCCTGTACACCAGTTCATATGCCCCATGATCCTCTGGGGACTTAAATAGCTGTAGTTCTCTTTAACGTTTTTCTCAAGAGTTTAGAGCAGGATAGGTTAGACACACTTCTATCAGATAGTCTCAAGTGATACATTTTTTAGATGCAAATTGGATCAGCTCAAATTCTATGGAAGGTCTAAATGGTCATTTGCATTGATTCACCATGTTTAAAGTTTCCTGGGAACAATAAAGGAATATTTTGACATATTGGGAAATATACTTAGTTAGTGCTAGATGAGTGAGAATAGGAAGCTACCACCGCCAGCCGGTTTGTGCAGTGGTTCTTGACATCATAATGACGTTGCCAGGCAACCAGTGGAGACTCCAAAAAGTTACTGGACCTGTCAAAGAAATGGCCCAGCACAAAACCCCCTGTACAACTGCTTCTTCATTCAGAAAGTAAGATATAACCTGTTAGTGACCTTTTTAAGAGGTGTGTTGTTACCCTCGGACAGAGCCCATCACCAGTCTTTATGCTAAGCTAACCTGCTGCTGGCTGTAGCTTCATGTTCATCGTACATCGACATGAGAGTCAAATCAATTGTCTCATCTAACTCTTGAAAATGAATAAGCGCATTTCCCAAAATGAAACTATTCCTTTAAGTGTAGGTTTCCCCTTTTTCCCCTGTACCATATGCTCAGGTTGAGGCTTCAGGGAAGTGTCACGTTATGACGGATGATTTTGTTCAGGCTAACTGAATTAAACTTCTTCTCCTTCCTCAGGGAACTGTCCCGATTCATAGCTGCTGGCCGTCTCCACTGTAAAATTGATAAAGTGAATGAGATTGTGGAAACCAATAGGTAATGTTATTATTCTTCAAATGTCAACACTTGAAATGAAATGACTAGAAATAACTCAGTTACCAAAGGCAGAACTCTAAACTTCTTCCTGTTCTTCATTCCAGACCTGATAGCAAAAACTGGCAGTACCAGGAAACCATCAAGAAGGGCGACCTGCTGCTCAACAGAGTCCAGAAGTTATCTAGAGTTATCAACATGTAACCACAGAGGCCATATTTTCTCATTACAGCAAGGGGGACTTGCATATTCTTCTCGGTATACCCAAACCTGTCGTTTGTCTGACAAAGTGACTCTCATATTGTGTATATAATAAAATTTGTTTAACTGTTGGGATTGCATTTCTCAAGGCTGTGTTTTTATTTTAGGAAAGAGGCAGAGACATCGTTTCATATAAATAGCAGTATAAATTATTTTATTTACAGAAACTTGTTACAAAACAAATATACTATACAATCTTTTTTTCTTTAAATATTAATTCTAACCTATGTTTTGTTCATGAATTACATAGCAGCCAATACATAAGTCCAGCTGAAAATGATTTTGATAATGTATACAAAAAAAATCTATACACGCTTTTACATAGTATGAATGGTGGATTTATTTTTCTCCTCCCAAACACGAGCTGTATTCTCTCTCTCACATTCCAAGTCTATGGTGCTAATAAAAAAAAAAACATCCGTGCAATGTTTCCATCTATTGGAAACAATGTCAAGATGTTAGTTGAGTTTGAGGGTAAACAAAACACTTGATTGAAGGTTTTTTTTTTTTTTCAAACGTACAAATCCCAGTAAACCAGAGGGGGCTTAAGCCACACGCTGAGGCTAACAGAAAATCCCCACGTCTTGTTTGGAAAACTTGGATAAAACCCCACCCCTTCCCAAAGGAAAACACAATACTAAAGTGTTTCATAATGGGCAGGTGACAAGCTCAGGTTTTACCACATTTAGGGTTCATAGGCAGATTTAAAAGCAAACTCCTAAACACTTCGAACATTCAAGTAAGGTAAAACAACCCAAAGAATACTGCCCTCAAACAGTCAGGGTGAAACAAATTCAGGCACTTTCTTAATTTGATATTTCTTTTAAAAGCTGCAAACTATTTCTTTAAAAGCTGTGATTCAAATTACTTGTTTGGCAACGGTAATGCAAGCAGTTGGACTGTTTGAAGTGTTCCTCTTCCTTGCAATGATTGCTTAAGTCCCTTCAGCCTTTTATAAAAGAACGAAAGTGTTTCAATCATGAAATGTGTTTAAGGTCTACGAAGTGTATGACTGAAGAGTCCATGGAAACTGGTTAGACAATGGGCACAGCTCCAAGCCTGCAGGACAGTTCAAAATCACAGGCTAATTGGGTCATATAGTTATTTTCTTTTGTTGTTGTGTTGATTCATAGGCAACGTAAAATGTCTTGTAAAAGCACATGTGATTGAGACCTTGAAAAGTGAATAAAGGTATCCTCTGTCAGACAGACACATGCTACAGTGGCAACACTTCATCTTTGTTCCTTAAAAGGTTTGCAGTACACGATTCATGAGATGCTTCAGCTTCTACATATAGGCGTATTGCATTACATAGACTTGGCAGTGAACCACTAACTTTTTTTTTTTTTTTTTTTTACTAAATAAATAATGACTTATTTATTATTTTTAATTTTTTTTTGTTTTTTTTAAATTGTACCAAAAATTCAGCGTGTACGAAAAATGCCTGTGCAAAAATACATATTTCACTATGTACAATTTGTTAACAAAATATGTATTCTCAAATAGGGATACTTCAATACTTGTTTGATACATAGGCTACAAGAAAAAAGCTAAATTAAGGTTCTTTTAAAAAAATTGTCTCTACTTTTCCACACTATCTGACATCAGTGGAGGTTCCATAAATCAACAGCTGTTGCCAAAAAGTTTAAATATGTCCCGTGAAGCCATCTCTATGAATCTCGCACCATAAAACCCCACTCGAGATGACTCAAAGTAAGCAAACATCCCAACAAGATGGGCGAGTTTGCCTGATTTAAGACTCCATTTTGACAAAGGAATAGAGTATAATGCCTGGCTATTCGTTCTACTGTGACAAATCTTTTCTCAACACACACCAACATAGTGTTAAACCGTGAGGCATTTGAACTTTAACATCCAGAGCTTGGGTAGTGGTTACACATAAGAGGGACAATCAAACCGACAGAAGACAGGTGACGTGCATAAAGTTTGCTCCAGTTAAGACGTACCATACCTGATTCCCTATGTAGGAAAAATAAACATTACAATTCACATCTGCCCACGGCAGCTGTGGATTTCACACAGCTGTATGGGTAAAAAGTAGATAAGTTGTGGCAATAACAAATACGGTTTGCACAGATTTTCTTCATGTCCACACAGGCAATGCACCATCACCGCTTCATGAGCAAGACAGCCCACCTTTTAGTTAAAAAAAAAAAAAAAAGTAGTTGGCAAAGCTGATAGCAGCTTTTGGCTAGCTTTGTGGACAACTAAGCAGTGCCTGTGGAGAAAGTAGTTATTTAGTGCTGTTCACAGTTGGGGGTAGGTCTACTGTGGCGATCATTTTGCACAATGAAAAGATTCAGAAAACTAACAGGTGTCCTCAAGACCAAGCTATCTCCTCCTGACAAAAGATTCAATCGAATGGGCACATCGGGCGTCCTTTTCACATTTGAAAACACAACTGTCTCCACCACGTCTACAAAGACTCTTTGTAGTTCAGTGTAAAAAGCTCATAAGAAATCATAAAAAGGTAACACTTGCATAATTTTTCTGGATAATAAAAGAATTGACCAGATCGTCCCTATGGGCTCCTCTCAGGCTACTGCGTGCAGCCCGAGGTTACTCAACATGTCACCAGAGAGTCAGACTAATGGAAAGTGAAACAACAAGGTGATTGTGTGTTGTTTAAGGTGTTGCAAGTAACAGTTTGCTGCTGCTCCTCCTGCTCTCCTTCCAAGGCTTCTGAGATCAGGCGCTGGGGGTGTAATTAAGTTGGAAATTCCAGTAGTCCAGCAGAATCTGACATGAGAAAAATCCTTGTACACGCACGCACATTCACACACTCATTCCAACTAACACTGAAGAGATCAGCTTGTTGTCTCCCCAGTTGCTTAGCATCATGACTGCTTGTTGTGGCAGCCCTTAACCTGAACCCAATGAGCTTTGAACCGCGGCTCAAGAGACCCATGGTTGTTGCTATTGTTCCAACCAGACAGGAAGACCTCTCAGAATACTGGGACAACACTTGGCGTGGGGGGTCCTTGGCTCGCTCATTAGACCCCTGGGGCTCCACGCTATCCCCATGCAGTGTCATCGCCCTCTCTTCCACACGCGCACGCGCACGCACACACACACACACACACACACACACACAGACAGACACACATGGCTTTGGGAGAAATAGTAAGGACCACATTGACTTCACTGGGCAGTCCAGATCATCTCCACCCTGAGGATTGTGGGAAGCTGAGAGTAATGTGGGTTTGATTTTAGAAGGCCTCGTGCAGTCCAGAGCGGTATGTGGACTGCTCCGGACTATTCCCCGTCCACCTGCCGGTTCCATACACAGAAGCCGGACACCGCTGTCAGGGACGAGCCTTTGGCTGGGGAAGAGGGAGAGAAATAAAGAGAGGTTGTTAAGTAATCGGTCCATACACTTTACAGTCAGTAAAGGAAACACGTTCTTGGTCGAGAGGTTGTAGTGGTGTCAGTCCGCCATTTTGTACTTCATTGACTGAATTCAAGTTATGCTAGTAGAAAATCCTGGTGTAAACAACTCAGCTGAAGACAGCAAAGATTGCAGTTATCAAGTTGAATAATGACTTCAGAAGAGTTTCTGTGAACCTTATGGATATGGACTAAACCAAATCACAATGACACAAGAGCCCTTGTAGTATTTTCAGTGGAGCTCACAAAGTAATTGTTCTTTGGCTTAAAATCATGAAGGTTTCAAGCTCTAATAGCAAGTCATGTAGTGGAAGACCGACGAAAGAAACCGTCTTTAAAATGACAAATCAATTAATTGTTTCAGCAAATATTAGAAATGGCCCAGTAAAAAGCCCACCTGATGTAAATGGGAGTTGTTTGGTAGCCCTGGTGTCCCTGGAATGCTCCGTCCATGCTTCCCATGGATGTTGTTAATGGCAGGTGACTTGGCCACTTTGGGTCTACCTGGTCCAGGTCCCCCTACTCCTCCTCCTCCTCCTGCTCCTCCGAGCCCTCCTGCCCCACCTCCACTATTAATGCCGCTGGAGGCAGGAGAGCTTTTGCGCTTCTTGCCCTCCAGGCGCCCGTCCGAGGAGTGGTGGCTGAAGCTGGTGTGGTGGTCGGATGAGGACTGGTGGTGGACAAAGGGCCCCAGGGAAAGGGTGGAGTCACTGCTGTTCATCACCACACTCATACGCTTGATGGACTCTGCAGGGCTGCCCGAGGGAGGACCTCGTGCTGGCGGCCCAGACGAGCCGCCTGCTGAACCTCCAGAAGGCTCGGCCTTGAGGCTAAGTGAGTTGGTCCGCACAGTGGGGCCACAGTTAAGCCCCACGCTGTGGACTCCGCTGTGGGAGGAGGATAACGACGATGAGGATGAAGGACCTAATGAGCTGTGGTGGTAGGTGCTCCCTGAGCTGCCGACATTTGCACAGTTCTTCTTGAAAGAGGAGGAGGAGGAAGAATAGTTGGCATTAGAAGAGGAGGATTCAGAGGGGCCATGGGATGAAGAGAGAATAGAGCTGTTCTTCCTCTTCTTCCCCGAGCTGAAGCTAGTGCTGCTACTGTTACTGTTGGCTCCACTGCTGCCCCCACCAGTGGAGTTGGGGATGACAGGTGTGGAGGAGCCAGAGATCTCCTTGGGCCTGAAGGACGACGTCGACTTGGTAGTGCTGCTGCTGGAGGAACGGGACTTCAGCGCCCGGCCTGAGGCTAGGGAAGGAGCTGAAGAAGAAGAGGATGAGGACGAGTGGGCTGAAGGCATCTGCGGCGACGAAGACACTTGTCGGGCCTGCGTAATGCCGTAGGCCGGGTGCTCAGCCCCGCCCTGTGGGGAGCTGCGGGCATTTAAGGTGGTCCCATAGGAGAGCACGGACTTGCCCTCGTAGGATTGGCTATAAGGAGTCTGGGGCAAGGTGGCAGATGGGCCCAGGAAGCCTGAAGAGGGAGTGCTACCGTGGGAATTTGTGCTTGTCCTATGGGTAGGTGCAACAGAGGAGGAGTTCTCCAAGGCCAAGGGGATTTTCCTGCAACAAGGAAGAATATCATTAATTATCTATACCTGTTCTTAAGTCAAGAAGGCTGGTTATTATGTCCCACGGCCAGAGAAAAATTTGATCTGGACAGACATACTTCCACATCTGAGAGTTGACATGCTTGTCCATCATTGTGGTTAGGGCACATCTCACTCTGTCCCATCGCCGATCAAAGGAGTAACAGCCTCTCCCAAACAGTCGACTTCCAAAGGTACAGTACTGGGAACACAGAGGGGGTGATGATCACCATTTTTGGTAATACACAACAACTGTAAACTTTACTGTAAATTCACATTATTCATAAAAAGCAAATAGTGCTTATAATTCCAAGTGTAGCATGAAACAAATAATGGATTATCTTTTGAAACTCCACAACCTTCTTAGTTTAACTACTGTAACAAAAACAAATGTTGTCGATGATCAGAGACCAGTGATGGTCGAGCGCACTCACAGCTGCCGGTCGAGGGTGATAACCTGAATAGTGACAGTCCAGTTTGTCAGCATTGTCGTCCCGCTCCTCGTTCTCTCCCTCGTCACTGGAGGGTCTGGAAAACCCATCAGGGACAGTTTGGGGATGGTGTGGTGACTCGTGGACTACTGCAGGGTCTCCGGGGGTACCACCTCCGTGACTGCTGTTTAGTCTGATGGATAGATAGTGTGGGCGGTAATTTTCAACTTAATCATAAACTGTTTGTGGAAACCATACAAAATGTGTAAAAAGCTAAATTGTAACTGTTTGTTTCAAGCCTAGTTTGTTTGGTGTCACAACACTCAATACATACAAAACAAAATGAAGACCTGGAGCAGGACATACCGTGGAAGACCAGGGCTGTGAAATTTGGGCTTGCCGACTGGCAAAGGCTTAGTGGCTTCTGGGGCGGGGCCGTTGCCATGAGCAACTTGGTGGGCGTCATGGGCAGCGGCGAGGTGGGAGGAGGGGTGTGGGTCCCTGAGAGAGGGGTTTTGCAGGGAATGGGGTTGGTGGATTTCTCTCTCCCTCTCCCGCTCCCTTGCTCTGTTCTTGTGCTCCGCCAGCAGTGTGTCAAAGCGTTTCCTCCGCCCTGGCACCGCCCTCCGCTGGCTTAAGGAATGTGTCTGGTGGAAGATTGGAAAGGTCAGAATTATTATTTGGAAGATACACCTCTGCACATATGTGTGACTCAAAATAATCACAACGATGCTATGAAAAACGGTAAGTCTGGAAATGTTGTACATTGTCAACAAATGCCATTAAAAAGCCTGAAACAAACAATAAACTGATCCCACTTAAAAGTATTTTCTGTGACTCTAAAGCTGAATACAGCTCCATCATTGCCACGCTGTTGCACTGGGTGACATGCTCCTTCATCACAATACGTTGAAAACAGAAACTGCACACCGTGTCTGAGGCTGAAAATAGTCTCCAACACACAGCTTTATTGCTGATTGAGTAACTTTTGCTACAACCTACAGTGCTCAGCTATTTTAGGAGATTGTTCATCCTTTTGCAAAAATAAAAGTATATATTTGTGACCTGATTTTAAAGTCAAAGAAAAATTAAACACATTTTTTGCTAAGCTTGGTCTTTCTTTCATGACAGCACCCCCTACATTAGTGTTCTCCACACGGTGTGAATTTTCGGTTCTGACTGATAATGTCGGTACTGGTCATTTGATTTGTGCAATATCTGTGTGGGTGGGCACTAAAAATTGTTCACAATATCACTCACAAAGGCAGTGAACCAGCTGGAGTGCTGACGTTTATTTAGCCATTGCTTAGTCAGTGATCAGTGATTAGAGCCCTCCTTGCATTACTCCAGGATGTCATACATTACTCTGTACTTGGTAACATATGGAATGGTTAGTTTTGACAATCTGGGCATCACCAAAACTAAACCAGTAAACCACCATGCTGACCACTCAATGCTTGCTTCCACAAGTATGTACAAAAACTGTCTCATCCTCTTTTGATAAAATGGACAACTATTCAGATTAATTGTCATATGATAAGAGTTCATTACACAAATAGTGAGGAGAATATAACTAAATAGTTCAACTGTAAACATTGGGTCCTTTAATGGGATTTGTTGACAGTAGAACATTGCTAGCTTTATGTGTGAAATGATTTAGTTTATACAGCCCAAATGGACAGCACAAAGCTGAGAAAACTGGTTACCTTGCATGTTAGGGATCTTGTGCATGGTTTCCGAGATGTCATATCCACAACGCCACAGTGGATATCTGCATTGAACTCACGTTCTGAATGCACAAGAGAGAAGTGGGAGAGAAAGAAATTGTTACTTACTAAACCATGTAAACCTTTTGCCATTGCTCCCACTACAATCCTCCCTCCTTTAAAACAGTTTGCTCCATCTGTTAGTCTAAAAATTAGTAACCTATACAGAGTGAATATTAACATTAACAGTATAGAAAAGAGGTTTCTGCTGCTGCAGGAGAGTGCAAGCTTTATTTCCAGCATGTGAATATAAACGGCAGAAACATGACATCGTTATGTTCTGTTCTGTTTTAGCTGGTAACTTTGACTTAGTGTTTACTAGCAAACTATAATATCGGTGGTGTACACAGAGATATCTTGTGGGTAAAACTTTGAAAAGTGGATCAAATGTGCTGTATACTCTGATACTTGAGTCCTTCTGTGATCAAGAAGAAATAGATAGCAGGCCTTTACACAAGGGGATTTCATATCAAGATCAAGTATTTTGTTTGGTCTTCCAGTGACAATGAATCATTCCCTAATATGAAATGGACCAAGCAAGATTAGAGAAAACAAGCCATTTTAGGCAAAATCAGAATTATAAATAAATAGTTGTATGAGACAGTATCAAAATACTGTGTATCATAATCTAAACTGAATTCTTTAATCATAGCTGACAATACAAAACAGTGGCAGCACAAAACTGAACAGTTTCTCCAACTGACCTGTCACTTTCTTGTTAAGGTGGCGTCTGCTACTGGCACTGCTGCTGCTGTCCTGCTTCTTGTCTGAGAGGACCGAGAGGTGACCCTTGCCGTTGGGAATCTGACCCGGGGCCAGTGATGGAGGCTTTGGTATGGAGGGACAGTTAAGGCCTGGTTTAAGGGCTGATGATGAGGAGGTGGTGATGGGGGTAGTGTTGGAGCTCACAGTGGTGCTAGAGGAGGATGTAGAGGAGGATGAAGTGGTGGAGGGGGCAGATGGGGCCTGCACCAGCTTAGCTGACGAGTCCACCCTCAGATGCATCTTCTCCACCTTGACAGCCGGGGTGAGGCTGGAAGAGAAGGTTACAGAGATGAAGAGGGCAGCAAGGAGGAAGCTGAGAGTTAGAAACACGGAGCCAGTGAGAAACGCATGGTAAGAGACAGATGTGCACATATGGATGGGGCTGGGAGGACAAAACATAAATCTAATATGATCCATCATTTGCCAGAAATCGAAAGAAACAAAAACAGCTGTCAAAATACATTTTCCTCTGACAGAGGAAAAAAAAACTTTGGCCGACTGTAAATGTGCAAACACCAGAGAGTGTATTTACCAGGCTTCAGCCAAGATTTATTTTTTGTTGCTTGGCTAGCTCGCTGTAAATTTACAGGCAACAGCTGAAAGCAACAGTGAAATCCACAGTCGTCAGCTTAAACTTTATGATTTCACTCTTTTAAATAAATATATTGATAAAAAGCGATAAATTGTTCCGCCCTTACACCATGGTCTGGGTGAATACGGATTCTGATTGGCTGCTTGGTGTCCATTAGTACCTGATGTAGGACACCTACTAAGTAGTTCCAGGGAAACGTTCTAAATGAATACCTTGAAATAAACTTAATATATACAAATATAGCTCACTACACTGAGTGTGGTCCTTCAGTGCATCACCCTCTGAACACCACAGGATGGCGACTGTAACACACTGAACTTACTGATACTTTGTATAAGTGAACGCTACTTAGCTTGCTACTTCAGGCTGTGGTGGCGTGACACACGCTTTATGGTTTGTGAAAATCTTGATATTGATTGGGGACAATGACATGGTTGGATAGCTAGCTTGTCTTGTCAAATACTGTCAAATTATATTTACTGTTTGTCGACTGTAAGCAGTGTTATTGAGTTTTGCTAGCGTAACGTTTTTTCCAGGTATTAGGAAGGACCCCAGGTGTTACTAGGAAAATGTAGTTATAGCTTGGAAAAAAAACTTAAGGTTTTGATTTCAAAACGTATGAAAATATAATGATTTTTATTTTTATTTTTTTGGCAAGTGACCATGGAATAAACAGGGTAATGTCTTTGCCCAGTCCTGAAATTATGGACACCTCGCCTGGCATTATCCCTTTCTTGTCTTAGTATGTACTCACATACCGTATGGCACAACCTTAGCATAATGTTACATAGTGAAACTTACTTCTTGTCCGGCTGGATCATCCTGAAGGGAAATGGGAGTCTTCGCTGAATGTCTGGCAGCTTCTCTTTGGCTGGTTTGAGGAGTTTGGGATTGGAGGAAGAGGACGTTGAGGAGGAGGATAAGCTGGATCCAGTGGTAGAAGGTCGGCCAAGGATGCCTCCACTCGCCCCTCCAGCTACAGACCCTGAGCCCAGCCCAGGCCCAAGTCCACTGCCACTGCTCCGGTTCCTGCCCGACACGGGGAAGGGCGAGGTGGAGGCTGGCTTGCTGACTGAACTGTGTCTTCTCTCTGGAGAGACAATATAAACCAGGCTGTCATTCAAACATAATAGTTAACTCAATTCGATTAAAATAAAGCATCAAAAAGCTTTGATCAAACACTATAACAGACTAGTCTATATGGGTAAATGTGGCAACAATCTGGCCATGAGTCATGAGAAAAGTTAATACACATGGGGACATAGAAATCTTCCTCTGACAGTAGTGAGCAGGTTACCTAAACAACAAATAAGCAGCATTTGTGATTCATGCCAACACAGCCTAAAATAGAACTGGCCAACAGGTCAAGAGCTTCATTTCCTGCCTTAGCTTCTTAGAACTGCTACTGTGCAAACTGATAAAAGGCAGTATTACAGCAGAAAAGGTTAGGGTGATAGTGAGTTGTGGATGGAGAGCCAAAAATAGAAGAAAGAAATATTCATCACTAAGTACTTGCATCCAAAACTAAATAGCTTTTCCTTTGAGGGAAATTTAGGCACACCGTGGTTTCCAAACATCATCGAACATTGGTCTCTTACGTGTGCACCAACAATAAGCATAGAAGAGGTTGAGTTGTCAAAGGAAGCTCTCATCACTTGCTATTTTTAGTAACAGCATACAACAATGAAAATAGCACACTCAAAATAATTTCATTGACATTTCCACTGCTGTTCCACAACATATTTCATCACGAAACAGACTCATTTCATAGATTCTAGGGATAATTAGTTGCCACAGCAGAAACTATCAAAGAAAAAAGCTGGACCGTGACCTCATGAGGGCTTTTTTTGTGTGCAAAATTCATACTTTACTGTAACACGCACAAAAGTCTTGAATCTAAGCCTGGCAGCGGCTCCCTAACAATAATAGGAAGCAATATACTGGACCTCCGGGGTCACAGAGGGGTCCGCCAACGCTGACAATAAGTGGAGAGACAGAGGAGGGAGGTCGACAGATGCAGAGACAGAGACAGAGATGTCTGCTGATGAACTGAGGACACTGAAGGTTAATGTGACCCTCTTGTTGTCAACACTCTGGCACATGAGCAAGAAGGCCAAAGAATGAGAAGGGGGAAAAAACAACCAGCAAACATAAAGTGAATGTAACAGGATACAGCCTAACAGGTTTTGATAGAAAGTGTCTGTGTCGGCAGCTGGTTACCGTGATGAGCTGTGGGCCTTGTTAGCTAACCTTTTACTGGGCTAATTCCGTGGTGTAGTTGGGAACTGGGCCATAGGCCAAAGCTCAGTCTCAGCAGGTGATCTGCAAACAAGCTTGTTGCTGCAGAAACAGTGAAGGAGATACTAACACATGTGCGCACACAGAGCTGCCACTCCTGATTTAGCTCAGCCCCCAACACACGCACGTTCAAACTGTGCAGCCTTCCTTAAATTTCCCTTTTCAGGGAGAAAAAAAAATGTTTTCAGAGTGCCCTCTTCTCACCTAAGGGCCTCTCTCTACACACCGATTCACGACACACTCCAGATATCTTCCCTCCCTTTTCTTAGCAGCCTTTCTCTCCCTCCCTGCTTCTCCTGCTGTCTTGTCCTGTCCCAGTCACAGTCAACAGCGCACCCTGCACACAAACTCACACCAGGAAACCCCAGCGTGTCACTAACAGCACTAAGACTGAGTAAAGAGAGCCAACACCAGCGGCAGTGGAAGAGGAATAAAAGAGTAGAAAAATGTGGGGGAGAAATAAAACCACAGACACAAGGAATAGGAGGAGCCTTAATATTCTATTTCACACTGTCAAATGGTTGGCTTAGTGCGAAGGGGAATCCCTGGCTATGGAAGTGTGATGGCCTTCCTACTATCTCATCTGTTAAAGTCAGAGCATGGCCTGGCCTCCGTACACAATAATAACCTTGTTGCTCTGGTAACATTTTTTTTACTATGGTTAGCTTACTTACAATCTATACTTGAGGTGCATGATCCAAAAATGTGCATTTGTATGCATTTACTCAGCCAAGGCAATGCATGAGTCTTTGTTCGACAAGTTCATAAATGAATGCATAAAAGGGCGGCCGAGCTTGCAGCTTCCTGTTCTGCGGTGAGTGTCACCCCTGCTGGGATCAGCCTCAGCTGAGAAGCACAAACACCTAACGGGAGACAGATGGGCTCAAAGAAGCACACTACAATCATATTGGGACCATCTCAATGGTGCTGAGATCAGTGCCTTTGCCCTGTCTTAACGCCGCATGAGGTCTTCCTATAATGACATCAGAGGGAGGAAGCCAGGAGGAAAATCACAGAAAGAGCACTCCTACTCTGTATGGCAATGTGTAGTAGCATAGCCACAGAAGTTCACTTGGATTGACACTGTTCCAGCGTGGAGCTTCAACAATTAGTCCGTCAATTATTCTAATAATCTATTACTCATTTATCAACAATACATGCAGATCGTTCTGTTCTTCTAGCTTCTTTTTCTTTGTTTCATATAACTGTAAATGGGAACAGTTTCCACAGCAAGTAAAGAGTTAATTGATTAATTGAAAAGATTATCATCAGATTAAAGCTGGGGTTGGTGGTTTGAACAGTGCAAAACCTTACGCCTCTCTCTCTGTGGCTTCCTATCACTCCACTACAGTCCTCCCACCAAACCCACATTACATGGCAGCAGGAGTCGGCTCAGCTTGGCTCATGCCTGGTAAGGCCCGCTCTCAACGGCAGGAGTGTCACTAAGACCCTGGTCCCTCTGGCCGTTCAGCCTACAGCTGTTGAGCACTGAGGGACCAGGGTCATGGCAAGTCCGCGGATCCAGGGCAGAGGCAACTCGGACCCAGTGGGATGCGAGTACAGATGTCACCATACCAGAAATGTAGAGTCGATACCATTATTGACCAGTGAAATTCCACAATTCTCAATACCACGGTATAAAACTAAACAATAAATCCTATGTTTTCAACATACATCACAAAACACAACAATGTGTGGCATGTCGCCTTAAAGTAATGAATAAATAGAAAGAAACTACTCAATGTACTCTTTTCTGCCTCCCGGTTGCTTTCTACTATTAACTGAGTAATGGAATTGTTGCGTAAATGACGCCAAAGTAAAACAGCCAACCCCAGCTTTAATTGATATTGAAAATAACCCTTAGTTGCCCTATTCCAGTGCATTCAAGTCCTACTTGAATGGAAAACAAAGGAGCTCCATTAGCTTCTCATTAGGCCATTTATATAATCCAATCAATACAAGAATTCAGTTGCATACAGGTGATGGTGAACAGTTGAGTCGGAATCAGTGGTGACAGTGACCTTGTCACGCAATTTCATTATCAGTGTCAATATTGAATTTTGTGTTTCCGCTGTCATTTACATGTATTCAATTATGGTGGGTCACTGACTCAATTTTTATAACCACATCAACCTCTAGACCACAGTATGGCTTTATTTTTCATTATACAAAGCGTATCGAATTGGTATCCTAATAATTAACAAATTACAGACATTGTGTTCACATCGCATAATGAATTATCAATGCACAGTTGAAGAAACAAATGACTATAGAGCTGTCCACTGTCAAACCACTGTCCATTTTGAATGTGTATACTCCATATATCAGATTGTCTGGTATTCACAACACCACCCTATTAAAGATGTACCGCGGCCACCTGCTGGGATGTAGTCAGTACTGTTTTACTTCACAGGCACTGTAATTCCCTCCAGTGTTTGTCTACTTCTCATTTAAAATCCCCTAGCACGTATGAGATCTCAACTGGATGCTGCGGTTCATAAGCAATAGTTGGTCTAGACAGGCTTGTATTGATCTATATTGTTTAACAATGTGGGGGGAGTCCCTTCATTCAGTGTTGTTGACACAGTAGCAAGGACGGTTCCTCTAGGAGCCATGTGCTGTTATACCTCCCTCTTGTGGGTGACCTTGACAACTGTAATTGCTGTGACACTTCATGGTGAATGCACACAAGTAAAAAGAAGGGACTACAACTCAATGCACGTTTAGGACAAAAAAGACTTATAAGAAAGTTATGAGAGTACTATCAGAGATTTCAAGTGTAGGATGGAACAAATACTGATGTTAATACGGATTGAAGCTATTGGATTTCTGTCATAACAAGGCGACTTTTCCTGTTTCCATAAATTGACTTGACTTACAAAGACTAATACAAATTCTTACATGACTACATGACAGGACATGGTAGGTGTCACTAACATTCAGCCTTCCTTCCCATTACCAGGAAATGAGTTTGGGAGTAAACAGACAGCGTATTTTTTTGAGCGACTGTGGGTGTTTGTGAACTTGGTGTGAACACTGAGGTTTAACGAGATCCACAGTTATGCAATCACTATATTCAGAGATCTAGAATTCCTCCATTTACTTTGGTACCCAAGTCAGAGATCCAGCTGAACTACTAAGCAGTGGTAATCCATGCGCTGAAAGGCACATGTACATATTACTCAGGTATCCAACAGAACCAGAAATCTGATCTGTATGTGTTAAAAAAAGTACATTACTGAGAAGACCTAGAGAGCCACATCAAATATTAACAGGGGAATTGTAAAGACACACAAATGAGACAGCGAGTTAAATAAATAAATCAAAGTCTGTGGCATCCCCTCTCAGGTTACTGTGTGGAAAAGGAAAGGAGGTGGGGGAATACAAAGGTGGAGGGAGAAGTAACACCATATGTGTTTATGTGTGAAGTGCAACCAACAGCTTTGAAGTGGTGTATGGTTCCTACAATTGAAAACTACTTTGTTACTATATTTTTCATTCCCCCTTTTTTCTATTGGTTTATCTATAAAATTCAGAAACTCTTAAAACTAACCCTTTATGTTGTTTTGCATGAAAGATAACCTTAAATATATGCATACATATTTGTGTATGGGTATGCATGTGCATGACACTTACCATAGTGTGCTTGGAAGGCTTGGGGCTTGACTACCTGACCGCAGTGGCTGCACATCACCAGGTAGAAGTCGTCCTGTGCGGGACACTGGCCAAATATGGGCATGTCTGTGGACAGGAGAAGAACCAACCACATGGGCCACAAGTCAAGGAAGGGTAAATAAAATATAACTGTGTTCACCTGGTCCCTCAGTTTGCAGCACGCTCTGAATCTACACTGAAACATCCATAATTTGTTGTCATGACACTGTAATAGCTCAAGATCCTTTGTGCATAAAACCAAGAAGAAATTGGTCACGTCATGGTTACGCAACAACATGAAAACAAGTTACCATATTAAGAATATTAAAAAACCTAACAGTTCACTCAAGGCAACCTGAGGAGCCAAAACACTTTTCCCTAATGGGACATTAAAGTAGATTTTATTCTATTCTATTCTAAGTCTCCACATGCTAATACAGATTACTCCCAAGTACTAGTCCCCATTCATCATAGAGAATATGCCCTTGTGATAAGAAGCAAGAAGGGCCGAGCCAGTGATCCAAAGGTTACCTGTCTTCAACGTCTCTCCCACATATAAACAAACACAGCACATACAAGATGTGTACGATGTGAATGGCATTGAGAGTGGGTGATTTGTGACTTTAAATAAAATAAGAGCTCTCAAGAAATAATGTTCAACATGGTTTTCCCCTCATGCTTCCGTGTTTAAATCAAAACAAAACAAACAGAGCTACAACACTAATGGATTGAAAGAAAATTAACCTGCAACTTTTAATAATAACTTTTGACAGATTTGCTGCTTTTCTGTGTTTTCTGTGATAGTAAACTGAATATCCTTTGGTAGTTAACAATGTTAATTGGACAAAACAAGCAATGTGAAGTCATCACCTTGGGCTTTAGGCAATTGGGATGGACATTTTTCTTTTCTTTTTTCCTGACAGCTTATAGAACAAACGATTAACCAGTTAACTCACACAACAGATTAATTCATAATAAAAGTAATCATTAGCAGGCTTACAATCAAGATGTTGGTTTTCATGACAGTCCGTCAAGTTACGTGTCACAGAAATGTTTAAGAGCCATAACATTAAAATATTCCAATACAGTAGTTGCTGGTCACGTTCTCATGACTCAGGATACATTTTAAACACCTCCTCCCCTAAAGCCAGCTCAGGCTTAACAGAAGCAGACATTGTTGAGTAATGGAGTAAACTTTTAACGACCCCTAGCAGTGCAATGCCTCTATCTAGGATTAACTAAAAAAAATATAAAATAAGAAAAACTGGAAGAAATTGCTATTTTTCTTTCTGAATAAAGTAAATATGGGAATTTTCCTGTAGTGTCACTAATGCAACTTTCAGGCACACAATCATCAAAAACACAAGCAGCATGAATGCCAAGGTACACAAATGGCATGTCTGCATCTCCAGCACCTCTGGCCACTCAATAGAGTACAAACCAAGGCTCACGCTTCACAAGAGGGTAGTGCCGTTCCTCACCAGAATGTGATCAAAATTTACCCTGGCGCAGAAAACCAGAAACCACCTAATTAAGTGGGCTAATTAAGAGATTGCCTGGGGCGTTATGATGAGATGAGCAGAAGACAGGATAAAAGAGGATATAAGAGGAGAGAAGTGGAACCCCTCTCCAGTTTGTACTCCACCAGGGCCGTCAAGGGTTCTCCAAACGTCAGTGGCCGAGTCTGGAAGCGATGAGGGCCATTAAGCAAAGACCATATAAAAAGGGCCTACCTGGCGGGTTCCCTCTCAGGGAGGTCAGAGGCACTTTTGTGTGGATGAATTGACAAGCCTGATGCTACTTAATGCATGTCAATTGTCTGAAGTCACTCTGCTAAGTGTCTCCTTCAACAGCAGTGGAGTGAAAAGACTTTATTTTCACAGTGGCTAGGGTCTGCCACAGAGAAAAGGCAAATGTCTTCACTTAATGGACAAAGGCATGAAAATTATATAGAACTTCAGTAGGGTAGCACACTGCTGATGCACAAGCAGGGCCTGAGTATACTGCAAAGAAGGCAAGTGCCGAAATGTGATGTGGAGAGTAGTACTCACTGGTTGCATTTGCAGAAGCATAAGCTATTAAAGAGCAGCTGAAAGCCTAGAAGTTCTGGATAACCTTTAGGTTCTACATGTCCGTTTTCATCCAATTCTCTCTATGAGCAATTCTCTTGTACCACGAGCAAATTGAAGTTATAATGAGAGCACACACATATTTGCTAAATCAATAACTTCGCATGTATTCTCCATTAAAACTCCCCCTTCTCTCAGTTCCTTTATTGAATCAGGCCAAGAACTGCAGAGTCCAACAGGCCAACCACATTTCCTTGCTAGATCAATAGCAAGGTCAAACAGGACTCATTCCCAAACTGCTGTTGTTCACTTGGAGCGTTCTCCAAACAGGCTGCTCAAACTATAAAAATCAGCCCAGCTAGATTGCTTTTGCCACTCTGCATTCAACACGCTGGCACCAACTGAACCCTACCGCTAAAATGGCCCGACTTGAAAAGTGGTGTAACGTCACTGCGTCTGCCCCATTCTCAATCTCCCATTTTCGTCTTGAGCAAGCAGGAGATGAAAACGATAGAGAGAGAAAGGAAGTCGCAGTGGTGGAGAAAGAATAGACAGAAACAACCAAGCAAAGCCAAGAAAGGAGCGTGAAGGAGAAAAAAAATACAAGCAAGAAAGAGAGCAGAGAAACAGGCCGAGTCAAGACAAAGAGAGAACGAGCAGAGGACCTGCGCCGGAGGAGGAGGAAGAGAGCCTGTGAGCACGAGACGGAGGAATAGAATGAGAGTCCAGTTCATTTCAGCATCCTCATCCATGGCAGTAATGAATGATCTAGGTGGAATAGTAGCAGCTCTGGCTGGTTCTGAGCAGCAGGCACGCTGGCTGAATCTGACCTGTGGCTGACACTGGCACTACATTTCCCAGCTTCCCTGACTGTTAACAGTGCCGCTGCAAAAATGTATAAAAAGTGAGACATACGATGACTGATTTCATCAGTCATTAACTGCCATACATTCTTACAATGTGTTAGTCATCTGTGTGTGTGTGTGTGTGTGTGTTAGGATGGCGGTTACAACACAGGAGGAGTCTGGTGGTGAGTCATGGCGGAGAGGTATAGTCATCCACTTGTAATACCCCTACTAGAGAGACACACACACACACACACAGAATAACATTCTATGAACACACACACACACACACACTCCTGCCACAAGCCGCATGTGTTGATCAGCCCCATGACACAAACAACAGTCACTGACAGACGCTGCTACATGATAGAGACATGTTTCAGACCAGTTGCATGTCAAATGACCTCACAGCCTTGAATTTTAAATGACCATTCTGTCAATCTGTCTTTCTTCTTGCCCTGGACATACAATAATCTCAACCGCTTTCAAAAAGACTCTCTTTAGGTCAGCCACCACCTCAATGTACGCAGTGTAATGTATGAAATATGAAAGCACTATTTCTCTTCTCATTGGGAGCCTCTAGGACATTTTCTTCTGACACTGTCCAATGATTTGAGGGTATGCACATAGGCCACATTGTTGACCAATGCAACATTAGATAAGTGGCCTGTCAAGTAGCCTGCATTTAACCCTTTCATTACCAACAACACATGGAGAGGAAAAAAAGAAAAAAAAGAAACTAAAGCTGGACACAGACTCGTGAAATCACAAGTGTGGGCCAAAATCATGTGACCAAAGTGAAATGTGCCATCTTTCCTGATGGCACATTCCTCACTGAAATACAACTTCAGACAGATAACCCTGTTCTGCAAACAAATACATTATTACACAGCATGAATGAGAAGCAGAAATTCCAACACATGTGCCTCCAATATGTTGGACAAATTCATGTCCTCCAAAGTCGTTCTATACTAGGAGTCATTGAAGTCGGAAATCTGTCAAATTCTGTGACAATTATTTACACCACAGTGATCGCTTTGTTGTTGGCTTTAGAATTAATGATTGTGTTGAGTGTCTGAAGATGATCCTTGTGGTTTTTGCTTAATTATTGCCATTTTTCTCTGCCAAATTATACCCACAAACAGAATTTCAGCATAGTAAACAACAGAGAATACATTTATTTCTCTCTACACTTAGCTCTGACATAGAGCTCAAAGAAAAGGATGCATGTTAATCTTGATGCCCTAGTAGCTGCACTGACTTCCTGTAATGTGACATGTGGCATGCCCTGCTCATGTGCCCTTGAGCAAGAGATGCAAATCATTCCTGTAAGTTTTTAGAAGTAGCTGTGTGTGTGTGTGTGTGTGTGTGTGTGTGCTGAAATGAATCAAATGCAAAATAAACAGACCATAGTATATGTACACTTTTAAAGGTTGCCCAATTAACTACTAAGGACAGGGCACAACCTTAGCAAAGCGTGAAATATTGTAATAAACGAGGTAGGCCTAAAACTAACTGTAGTTTAAAGTTGATTCATCATTCATTCATTTAGATCCGAGTTAAATAAACAGGTTAGTCTTCATCCTGTCAACTTGCTCATTGTGATGTCACTCTTAGAGCTTGGTGAGGCTGGAAAACAGGGCATGATTGTTGATTTGTTATTAAACAAGATGCAATATGCTATTGTTGTTTATTTTACCAATTTACCTTTTTGGTGAGGCTCATTCTAAATCCAGGTACAAAGTACAAACTGCTCTGAAACATCACTCTGTGGCTCAGATGCCTGATGATGTGTGCTTCTGACACTGTGCGTTTAATCACAGATGTCAGATGATGTTGTTTCTCTTTATCCTGTCATGACTGAACCTCTCCCTTTTACTGCCTATTAGAGAATGAATAAACAGCAGCATTGAAAAATGCTATTAGCAACACCTACAATATCTTTCATAACTTGAGATCATGGTTACTAGCAGGAACATAGTCATTCTGTCGATTTGTTATCAGGATAGTTTGGCTGATTGATTGATTTTAATCTATGGTTATGGCAGACTTTCAGACCTGGCCTGAATAAATCAAAAATATATATGACATGCTGGTTGGCAGAAGAGTGCTTCAAAGGATATTTTTCTAAATATGCGGTAACAAAAATCATTACTGTTGGTCATATTTTGTGTTGAAGCAGCGTGTGAAATAAGAGCAAGCCATACCGTAACTTCATATGATTTGATAGAACAATGACTAAAAAGGGATTTACACAAAAGTCCCAACTGCTATTTAAAGAGCAACATTTCCATTTGGGGGTTCTTGTTTTGAGAAATCACACAAGCTCCCACAAATTAACTTTGAAAATGTTACTTGACCTTAAATTCAAACATTGCTGTTGTCTTCAGATAAGAACAGAGGTGAAATATGGTGGAGGGTTTTATATTTAAAATGGCAGTAATGTGGATGTTGAACAATAAAGTGCATTAAATGCATTCTCCCAGAATATGACATTGTTATTACTATGTTTGGGCCTATAGCCAACTACAGCGAGTCTAAGTTGTTAACCGTTAAGTTATTTTAGGGACAGATGCAAATGTCAACTACCACACGAATAAAAGACACATGTTTCACTTAGTACATCCGGTTGTCCAGTCAATTCATGATGCGCAAGATTTACAGTACGTTTACATTTTGGCCGAACGACGTGTGTAAAGTGTTTGAATCCATGTGTGTGTGTGTGTGTATGTGTCCAAAACCTCCAGAACCAAAATACACCTTTGGCCCTAGAGAAAAAAAAAACACACTCACCTTCTCTGCACAAACGCATGGCTTCTCGATTTTTCCCGAAGTCTTTGAAACTTTCCTCCGATTCAGCACCTGAAAATGAGGCGATCCGACACACAGACAAATAAATAGTTGCACTTGCTTGCCTGCCCGTGCTGTTGCTACCAGTAGCGTTTCTTCATATTCCACCAAAAACTGCATGCAATCGGCCAAAAAAAGGACAGGACTGGCAACTGTCGCGCTCCACCTCGCTTCCTCGCGCACATTCGGGACGCTGGGGAACTCACCGTCGTTGCCGTGGAGTTTGGCGGCGTCGACCCAGTTGCTCCAAGGCTGTCCCAGCATTATTTCTGGACTAGGCAATGATCTCCGCTCCGCAACAGTCGCCATTGCTGTGGAGCCTTCTCCCCGCTGGATCTGCTGCTGCTTCAGCTGCTGCCTGGCCGCTCGGCGCTGCTCCCCCCTGACGTCATCCTCGGCCCTTTCCGACATTCTTTCCGCTACAATGTAACAACACAAGAGTCAGCGTTGGTCGCGCTCGGGATAGGAGGACTTTTTCACTGATTGACACGGGCTGAACGCGTGTTGTTTTTAACCTCACCCGCCCCTCCGAAAAAATAAATAAATACATAATAAATAAATACATTTAAAAAAAAAAAAAAAAAAAAAAAAGCACATGTGTGTGGCTACCTGACGAGCAACAAGTACAAAATAATATGTTGAAATAAATAAATCAACATATGACAGGTACAGAACTGGCTGGCAGTTCATCTGAAGCTTTATGGGTAGGCTAGTTAGCTTTAGCTTTAATCTCCTTTGCATGCGATGCCTACAGACTTGGCTTGGTGGTTAATGTTAAAACTTGCTTAATAAATATGACACACACACACTCTGATTACACAGCCATGTGTACTAGTATTATATAATTTACATTAAAATGAAAAACATATACAAGATACATATGACATAAATAAGTATAGTATAGTATTCTGTGGTGGGGCAGCATGTAGCCCTACAGTACTGTACTTAATAGCATGTAACTTCATGTCAGCATTCATAGCAATATACATGAAAACAGAATATTAACACCTGAGCTGTAAAAGTTCACTGACACTGACTGACTGGTTAAAAAAAAAATAAGGACTTGATTTTGTGATTTCCTTCAATATATGCAGTGTAAGCTTACTAAACACCTATGTGAGTGTGACACTAGTGCATGCCTGATTACAGTCTGCATAATGCTTATCCAAGCTGTGAATATCAATACATATTTAAATATTTAATTTCTTACTTTACATGCTTAGAAAAAGTAAGCATTTGAAATCTGAAATATATCAGCCACGAGAAGGCACAATCATAGGCACACCAAAACTCACATTTCTGTTTTTGCATGAATTTGCAGGGATTTGTTTAACAAAAATGGTAATTTCTTCAGTTATTGGAGATGTTAATTATTCAGACATTACCAACAATACTGTTGGACAAAAGTGCATAACAACATTTTTAAGATGCACTGATAAATACACAGTGGTAACCACATCCCACAGTAATGATGTATTATGCTTGGCAAGTCCTCACACACCTATAGGAAAACATATTTACAGATAAGTTGATTTGATCTTCATGGATGATGAATTAGTAACTGTTATTTTACCACTGAAATAAAGACAGACACAGATATATAGCTCATGTTACTGTTAATTCAACCAAGTGTCTTTGAAAGAGTAATGTAACACTTAATGAGATTCATGACTGACTTAAATAGATTCCCCCTTAAGAACCCCTGTGGTTCTTAAACTTTTCATATGTGTAAAACAGCCAAGTTGTCTTTACTTTCACTTTCAACATGATGTTTGTGATGAACCAGAATTATGTAAATATTCAGCTGACATGCAAGAAGAGGTTGTCTTGCCACAGAGAACATTTAGTATAGAGACAGCTGATTGCTGTAAAGAGACAAAGTAATACTCTGACTGACCTGACTTACAAATAGCATAAACATTTCTAGTCATCATCTGGTGCTGTCCTTCCCATTGTATATGAATAATGTAGCGACTGATTCTATGTGACCTTTCTGCTTTCCATCTGAAATCATGAGAAATTCAGACAGCCATCTGTCATTTTAACAGAAACAGTTTAAGCAGCCGTCTATGTTTTTCTGATATCAAATGCAAGATGTCTGTAAAAATTGACCCAATAAATGGCAAAAAGCTTAATATATTCCCGTTTTGGCTTGTATCCTGAAGAGCCTCAAGTATAAATGACCTTGGCCCTCTGTTGCTAGTTTCAAGTGTACAGTTCAGAAACTTGGCCTTGTCTTTAGACCAACACTAAATTTAGAAATACAAATTAAGACGCTTGTCCTGGAGATGTTACCAGGCTCATTGAAAGAAAAAGTTTCTTTATTTATTTTAGTCTTTGTTTACTGTTTATGCATACACCTTATAAATTGAGCCATTATATCAAAATGTTTCAAAAGATATGACCACTCCAGACTCCATTATTGACTAAAAATCTAGATGCATATGGTTTATAATAGGATGTTGAGCTTCCAAACGCAGACTTTCTAATGAACTGAACTGGCTACTGTATCAACTGGTAAAATGGTCAAACCACAGACATGGACTTAGCATCTTTGACATCACTCACAGGTTTCTGAAGTGATCGCTTAAAGCTTGAATTTGGATCAATTACTGGCACCAATAAATTCAAAACTGGCACCCAGGGTTTAAGCAGAGTATAATACACATTCATAATCACTTTACTGTACTATTTTAATATTACATATTGATACCTACAACAACTTGGTAAGCACACATAAGCATGATGCTATATATTAAGGGTGATATGTGAAAAGTGATATTATATATATATATATATATCTATATATATCTATATCTCTATATATCTATCTCTATATATCTATCTCTATATATCTATCTCTATATATATATCTATATCTCTATATATCTATCTCTCTATATATATATATCTATATCTATATATCTATATCTATATATATCTATCTATATATATATATCTATCTATATATATATATCTATATATCTATCTATATATATATCTATATATATATCTATATATATATATATATATATATATATCTATCTATCTATATCTATCTATATATCTTTATATCTATCTATCTATCTTCTATCTATCTATCTATCTATCTATTATCTATCTATATCTATCTTTTATCTTATCTATATCTATCTATATTATTATTATTATTATTTCTATTTATTTTTATATATATATATATATATATATATATATATATCTATATCTATCTATATCTACTATCTATATATCTATATATATATATATATATATATATATATATATCTATATCTCTATATCTCTATATATCTATATATATATATCTATATCTATATATCTATATATCTATATATATATATATATATATATATATCTATATATATATATATATATATATATGTGTGGTTTGCATTAGGTTCAACAAACAGTGGGTAAACACAGACACTTCTATATAGATTTGAAAAAGCTTTTCTATATATTGTATACAGTGGTATAGAGAACAGTGCAACCTATCAATTATTTGACAAGTGGGGAAAACAAGTAGATTCCACCAAGCATTAACATTCAAGTTATATAGCTAATCTTTTTTTAGTGTAATGTGTAACTTACCCATTTAGCCAGAAATTATAAGAGCCTGTGGACATTTTTGTTATAGGATTTCTGAATGGTATGGAGCCAATATTGTAGCAAAACTATTCACACATGTGAGTGGAGAGTGGTGTAACTGTATCTCAATCTGTGTGTGCGTAATCAGATTTGTAAATGTGTAGACAAATCTGTAAATGCAGACATACATATTAATGGCTGAGAAGTTTAAGTATTTGCTCCAAGAGCTGGAAATACAGACAATTCATCGGTTACAATTTAGGCAGGACTCTGAATTGGCTCTTTTCACATGTGACTGTTGCTACACACTACACAGCGATCTGCAAATGCGTGTGCCGATTTGTGTGCGAGGAGAGATCTGTCACTGCAGGACTGTACTGAATCTATTTTTCAAGTAAGGGGATGTGTAATAATGTAAGAGTTACAGAGAAGAGGACTTTTCCTTTCCTCTGGCACACTCATTTTGACTACATGAATACATTATTAGTAATATTCTGACATTAAATCAGAACAATATGTTCACTGAAAAACTATTTCTATACATTTGCTGTACTGAACTCCAATGTGTCTCTAAGTAAGTCACAACTGTAAACATCTGTAAACACAATGCAGACACTTATGATTATTGTACAGCTACAGAAAACAGTAATTGCCAATAGAGTGTATGTAAGTAATAGACTGAGAGAGTAATGAGTAGCTGAGAGATCTTACCTTGAAAAAATAAGAAAAAAGGAACTTATTTTTAACTCAGTCAGTCGATCCTCATCAGCTTGGGTGATTGCTGGCTGCCACACACTGGAGAGGAAGTCTAGAGACACAATCCCACACACACACACACACACACACAGACAATCATTGAGAGAAGTAAAGTCAGTAACGGCTTCTCTGTTGTTCCGTTTCTGGATGGAGTTAATAAGTATGGAATTATATGACTATATCTGGAAGGTAACACTGTCCTCCCTGGGACTTGTCATGGAGTTCTTCACCCATATGCAGTAATCCAATCCATTAGGCACCATCCCGAACAACCATCTCCACCCCCACAATAATCCGCTGAAGACTGAGACCCTTTTATGAGTGTTTTTGTCACTGATGTATATACATACTGTTATAAATTCATGGAGGTAGAAAATGGCTTTAAGCGAAACACGAAGCCATACTATGATAACTGCTGCATGAACCTACTTTAGATTTGTTTAAATTTGCATTAATACTTCAAAAAGGTGTTTGTCGAAAGCATTTGCTGCACTGCGTTTAAGCCCAGGAACAAATTAACCAACTTCAAACGCAGCTGCATTTCTTGAAGTTATTACATACACATTACATTATTATATATTTTTGTTGTTTCAACCAGAAATTCACAGCCGACACTGGTCATACTGTTGCAGGTAAAGCTCTGGTGAACCTAATAACACTAATGAGGGCTCTGTTCCATGCAGGTGTGCCAGTAAGCCATGTGGGTGAGCCAGCATGCACAATATCATGGTCCTGTCACTAGCAAACCTAAGCTGAATGTAGCCATTATTAATTCAATCCAATACCTGTGAATAAGGTTTTTTTTTATTTTTATAATAAGTATAATAATAACATACTATGTAAAAACCCCAACCATGTAGCACTATATCTTGCTTCAGCCAGTGGACTTGTGCTCTCAGAGAAGATCGGGGAGTGTAGGCCTGATATTTCCGGCATCAAAGAGAAATACTGCTTATACAGCTACTTCCACAAATTAATTTCAGGTCCACCTTTCTCACTGTTCAAAAGTCCTGCTCAGTCAGAGCAACAATCTGGTTATCCTGAAGTTACATTATGTACCCAAAGGGTAACATGCAGACCTACGTCAGGGTAGACATTTAAGTTGGAAAACACGAATGTAATAACATTAATACTCCATTCTGCTCTAAAATGTATAGTGCTGTCAGTACTGTGTTCAAACTGTGGAGCTATTCATAAAAATGTTACAAACTTTCACACAATACTGATATGATCATCATCAATCACCATTAGAGCCTAAACTCAGAACATTAATCTATATCCATGCTTTCATATGGCAACATGTGTTGTTGAGATCTTATGCTTTAATTATAAGGGGTAGGCGATGGGGTTGAAATCAACGTCGCAGTATTATCAACTGTTAAGAGTATTTTTCAATCTCACTATATATATATATATATATATATATATATATATACTATATATAGCAAATGTATGCATAAACCACATAAAGTTTTCAGATGACATTCATGCAATGAACTCTTGTCTGCCGTTTACTGCTCATATTAAAGAAAATGCTTTTAACAAGTGATATGGAAGCCCAAAATATGATACCATCATATTATAACAATATGACTCCTCTGTAAGTCAACAAAGTTATCATACTGAATTGAACCCAGTTCTTATAGATTTATACATACACTGACTATGACTTCAGAGTGACTATTTATATGCACTGTAATATTATTATTTTTCCAAACACTGTGCTATCTTGCAATATAAACATGTCAGCACTCGTGGCTTAGGCTGATTTAAACCGTGGTCAGGGCTCTACGAAGACAATAAGACAAAAGTCGTGACTTGCAGCAGATGATATTGTGCAATTTCTTGAGAAACGAATCACTTGTCATTGACAAGTAGGTACACAACTTCACAGGACAACTCAGTTAGCTTAGCCAACTAGCTAGCTAACGGTAGCTAGCAGAGACCAACAAGAGGCTAGCTCCCACCTCTGCTACACACTAACCACACTAACGTACTTTCACCTTTCGTCCAATGAGAGAACACACCACGGAAACGTTCACTGTAAACACAATATGTGAACAAAGACACAAAGCCTCTCAGGAGTTATGTCCTGAAGACAGGCTCCGTCCAGTGTGGGTCTGTGACTGGTACAAGCGTTACTGGAGAGCACTGGTAGCTACATTAGCCTGCTAGCCGGAGCCTGTAGCCAGCCATGACTAGCTTTAGCGAGGAAGCTGGCAGAAGCCTGACAGCACAGCAGAAGTCATTAGCAGTCGTCACGGATCGACAACAACTTCACTCTTACCAAGGCTCTGGGTGCTGTAGACGTAAACGTGACACCAGGCAGATGTAAATCAACTGGATGCACTGGGCGAAGGAGACAGAAGACGGTGGGAAAGAGCGAGTGCAGTGCTCAGCCTCTGTGGAGGTCTTCACCTGGTGCTTCCATGTCTGTTTACCAGACTGCATTCTGGGACAGAGACGTCACTGCGCCAGGACGCACGCGCACTCTGATCTCTAAATCCATGACTGATGATTTACAGCAGCGTCACCGTCACCACGCAAGTTTTGGTCTGTTGTCTTAAATGAAATACAAAGGCATAAAACCTTGTGTGATGAGCATTAAAAACAAGGTGAAGGAGATGTCCTATAAGTTAATGATTGAATGTATTTTGTGAAAGATTTTAAATTGTTGTGGATTACAACAGTGTTCATTGTATAATCATTGTATTTATTCCAGGATGTTTTCAAGTATTTTGGAAAACTATAAGGGACACCAAGTTGTAATAGAACTGGACCTTCTCTGTATTTTGTTTTATTTTGATAAAAACATAATATATCTTTTTTTTATTCAGTTGTTAAATGTAAAAATACAATCAACACTTAAAAGATTTCAGTTGACTATATGATTGTCATGGAATATATTATTGTAAAGTAAAGGAAATGGAGGAGCTGTTCTCAACAGGGTAATTCTGGATAGCGATAAAAGAGCTCCAGGAACACCTGAGAAAACCAACAAATACCTAATAGTAGGCTACTCTTAAAATGCTCTGATCATGTCATCATTTGTAATGTGAGTGTATGAGTTTTAAAGTTAAATACTAATCCTAAATCAAGGTGAGGTGACGCAGTGCTTCAACCTTTCACTTTCTACATCTTGTCCTGTTCTTCCTTAAGTGAATGAGACTGACTTTAAGATTATCACAAACCTGTTGAACAAAAGGTTAAACTGATCCTCCACAATGTCTACATTTTGAGCCAATGCAACAGATGCTGTTTTTTCTTTTACCCATGCCCTTTTGTAATGCAGCTCTGGGTTATTTCTAACCACAGACCCTGTTTCCTGCACATTATAAATATCTTTCCTATACAGTTTCGTTCAAGTTTGGATCTTTCTATCTTTGTCCTTTATTTATTCATGTTTTAAAACATACTGTACTTTATTTTTGTGTGATTTTTATACACCAATGCACCAAAACAAATGTCTTATACGTGTAAAAACCCAATTCTGATTCTGATTCTGATTTTGAATGGGAAGACAAATAAGACACATAAATGACATGCAATACAGTATTTAATTAATGTGGCAATATTACGGGGTAAGTATCAAACTGAAAGACACTCAACCGAATTTCACACACTTTATTAATGACTCTGAATTATATTTTGGGTTCCTTTCAAAGCCAAGATGTCACTGGCAAGAAGCCTTGCTATTCTGATAGGTAGCCTACATTAAATGTATAAAACTACCCCCGTGTGTTTCTATTTCTTATCTTTTCCTACGTCTTGAACCTGAAGTTTTGCATTTAGTTATCATTGTTGTGTTTCCCAATATCACTGAGAAAATGTTTCTCGAATAAAGCTTTTTAAAAAAGCATTAAAAACTCAGCCCGTGCTCGCTGCTGTAGCCAATCACAGTCGTCTGTGTTCTTAGAGGCGGGGCGAGCGGCTTTGTTCACTTCCTGTTGTTCAATAAAGGTTTTCCAGCTACATACCGACATGGGCGCTGTTACAGATGGTAAGTAACTTTTAAATCCATAACTCACGACTCCCTCGTAAAAGCTACGAGTAGAAATGTGTGCTAAAGCTCTTAAAGTGTCCATATATGCCCAGCCATACTGCCAAACACCAACACATTGTACACGTAGAAGCAGCTTGCGATCAAAACAGCTAATGTACATTAGCCATGCTAGCTAGCTAACAATTTACCTGCTGTATCTGAAAGGCTGTTCGATTCCCACTTTCGCTCCTATTGTAGATGAGGTTATTCGGAAACGTCTTCTCATTGACGGGGACGGAGCTGGTGATGACCGTCGAATTAATGTGCTGTTAAAGAGTTTCACCAAATGGTGCAACTCTCCCGGGACCCCGGAGGAAGGGTAAGTGAGCCCCACACACCCCAACCGTGGTATTTGACACCAAGAATTTCTGTAGAAGTGGTGAAGACCTTTCTTTGAGTCATAAACCGTCTCGTCATTGTGTCCAGGTTCACGCAGTATCAGAGGATGATGGGTACACTGGCCCAGTGTGAATTCTCCATGGGGAAGACGTTGATGGTTTATGACATGAACCTGAGGGAAATGGAGAATTATGAGAAAATCTACTCTAATATAGGTAGGAAACAAGGACTCTCTGATACTGGCCCTATATTATTTATTTACAAACCTTGTATTGAAGTAGGCAGGGATGTTGTTGACAACCCAGTGGCCACTTCATGATCATCTAATGCAACTCAATACAGCAGCTCTGCCACAGTGTCAATCTTTTGTTTGTAATGTTCATTTTTTTGTTTGTTGACATTGTCTTAAATGTAGATTCAATTATATGTTTATTATTGAGATCGTAGTTTAAGGTGGTGTTGTTTTACTGGATTACATCATATTGAGAGGTGTTTCTAATGTTTGTATTCCTCCCAGTGTACAGGAGTGGAGCAGAATATTAGAATCACATCTGAATATAAATAAGTCCACTACAACATCACAGCCATTAACTAAATATGACCTCAGTGCTAAAACATAATTTATTTAACTCATCTATGGCAGTGTAAGAAAACCCCACATTATAGGCATCACAAAAGTGGAGTTTGTGGCAGAGCAGTTGTTTTGGATTGCATTAAATTGTACAGGTGTGTACCAAATAAAGTGGCCACTGAGTGTATTCTTTTATACAATAGAAATACTTATATTCTTGCATTTCATACTTTCTATGTGTTAACCAGGAACCAGACCACCAGTCACCACATAACAATGTATGTTTTTATAATACAAAATAACCTTGTTTCCACAGAACAAAACATCACCTCTGCACATGAGAAGATCGCAGAATGCAAAAAAGAAATTCAGAGGGCAAAAAGAATACGTAAAAATCGCCAAGGCAAGAAGAATTTCATTGTTTTGGATCAATTTAGGCAGTTACTTACAGGAGAGATTTACTACTTGTGTCTTATTACATAAACTGAGAAAGAGCAAAGGCAACATTTGATGTAAAACAATACAGTCAGCAGTTTATCATATTGCTGAAACAGTTGATCAATCGATTACCTAAAATGTTTTTTATTTGTCAACCATTTTTTTACAATAGGGTTTGTCATTCAAGTCATTTATCAAGGAAAATGGACATTCTCTGCTTCTAGATTCTCCAATGTTAGCATTAGCTCCTTTTCTCTGTTTTATATCATTGTGAAAGGAATGTCTTTGGGTTTTTGACTTTCACAGATTTAACAAGTCATTTAAAGACACAACCATGGTTTTGGGGACTTATGATTGTCATTTTTGCTACTTTCTGATGTTTATTAACAAAAAAATTGATTAATTAATCAGAAGACATTCATCAGTACTTCAATCAATCTTTTATTATTGACATGGTTTAATATTAGAAAACATTCTTTCAATGTCCCATGACATTTAGCAGTAATGGCAGATGGATAGAGGATTTCAAAATGGAAACTGTGGCCATAAACTTATAGAGTTTTCAAAAGAAAAAAAAATGTTAAGCAGTTTTTCATTTATCTTTTTAGAAGAATCACAGATTTGACTTGACACTTTTTTTTTTCCTGTCCTTCCAGAGTACGATGCTTTAGCGAAGGTTATCCAGCAACACCCAGATCGACATGAAACACTAAAGTAAGTCTGTCTCTCATGTGTTTCATCCTTTTGCCTTTCAGGATGATCAGATTATGTGCTTAACTTTGTTTTTGTCACTCTCAGGCAGTTGGAGGCGCTTGACAAAGAACTGCAGCAACTGTCTCACATCAAGGAGAATGTAGATGCAAAGGTACAAATACATTATATCATCTATTCCCACCTGTAATGTCGTCATTCAGGTATTATTTTATTAACATTTTTTCTGGTCTCCTTTTTGTTCAACACAGCTGGAGTTAAGGAAGAAGCAGTTCCATGTGTTACTCAGTACCATACAGGAATTACAACAGACACTTGAGAGTGAGTAAAGGACATTTTTGGTGCCATGTTTGGCATTGTTTGTGCTCCTTAGTGTTCTTTATTCTTAATAGCTGTTGATCTGTACAGTGTTCAAAAAACAAAATGTTTATCCATTTCTGTAAAGTTTAAAGAGGAGCCACCTATGCCTTGCTAATCATCTTTATCTTACCTAGATGATGAGAAATCAGACAATGATGACAACAATCAGGAGAGCCCTGCAGAGAATGGTGAATGAACATGTAAAGAGGCCGACTGAAATAAGGAAGTAAACGGCTTTTAAATGATTTTGTTTTTTGTCTAAGAATACTTTTTGTATGTATTTTTGAATAAAGTTGACTTGTCCCAAGTCTGTCATTTTTAAATTATTTACTTAACTGGTGGATTTCTAGGTGTTTGTCCATATTACTGTACATATACATCCAACTGATTTAAGTAACACAGGAATAGATGTTATTGATGGAGAGAAAGACCATATGTTCTTATTGATGACAAGGAAAATAGGTTGTTTATGTAGTTGGTTAGAATACTACATACTACTTTAATTTCCTTTGTAAAACCACAAGAGGGAGCTAAAGTACATAGTTTCATGCAGTAGCCGTACATAAGTTTATAATATTTTAAATTGATAGGCATGAATATGAAACTCTTAGGGTAAACATTTACAATATTTATTTTAAGAGAATAGATTGCTAGTAGTCTTACCTGTAACACCGGTTTTCTTTATTCAAACAAATGTATTTGAACAAGTATATAATTATGTATTTGGCACATTTTAAGCCTGCAATTATAACATAGTATCAAAGTACTGTTACAATGTTTATTATATTTTCTGGGGTTGATATGCACGTAGAGGAAATTCAAGTTCGGCACAGCAGCACGGGAATGTACAAATAGAATTAAAAATAAAAGGTAAAAATAGAAAAATGGGAGAGGGAGCTGCTGCCGGAACCACGATAATGAGTGTGTTCCTATAATATATTTTTGCAGTGTAAAATAACAGGCATCTACAGATTTGAAATGACAAAAGAATACATATTACAGTACAGTACGGTACATACAAGAGTGACTTCCTATGCGCCGATATCAACCTAGATATTAAATGTAAAGCAAATCTGCCCATATTCCACTAGACACAGTTGAAGATAATAATATTACAATCCTACAACCAATACTGTACTATTTGGAAAATGAAAGAGGTACAGCAGACTAATGCTGACAGGCCTTGATACCCTCTAGAACTCCACCAGGTATGCGCGGGCCTTCATGAGGCGTTTGAGGCGACTTTCAAAAGCAGCCCTCTTGCTCCCAATGTCTAAATCCTCCTTCAGCAAGAACTCAGAATTCTCCTTCTCCTGCAGCACCTGCAGCATCTCTCTCTGCAGCTGGACGGCAGACTCCTGCAACATCTGGTAGCGGATCACCAGTGGGATCTGGTCAGCCAGACGCTGGCTGGCAATCTGTACGTGGAAACAAGAAGTGAAAGATGAGGGCCGTTATTGAAAAACAGCCTCTGTCAAAACCTTTCTGTTATTGCTTTGGTTCATGAATGATTCCTCTAGATTAAAACTTACTTTGTAATACGACTTAAGGTGCAACATCAGCTCCTGAAGCGTTGCATGATTGTCCATGCAGTAAACAATACTCCTTTCTTTATTAACCGATACACCTCTCTCATTGTATTCGTCCTCATCCTCCTCTCTCTTTCTGTCACTCAAACTGCTGCTGTAGGTCCTGTCCTGAGAGTAAACAAGCAGCTCCATCTTGAACTGGGTTCTCAGCATGGATTCAGCCGTGGACTCTTTTTCTTGCTTTATGGCTTCAATCTTTGCCTAGAAAATGAGATTCTGGTCAGTTTGAACACTGAAAAATTATACATATAACATTTTTTCAAAATACTGACGATGACTATTTAAATGTCAACTCTGAGATGATGGCTACCTTGGCTGTTTTCATGAGGTTGGGATATCCAGTGAAGCTACTGTGGGCCAGCTGTATGAACACCTTTCTAACAGCATCTGGAGGAAACAGAAATACAAGAAGATACAGCAGCTTGATGTCCATTCAGTCCTTCACTGGTGCTTTTATGATAATAAAGGAAAGCATGAGCAATACAGAAAGACACATTCATCGGTCATATACTCAATCATATACCTCCTATGTCCTTGAGTCTCTTGACAGCTGGTTCTTCCAGCTGTTTGATCTGCTCCTTGACCATGAACTCAAAGGTCTTGTAGTTGATGAAGCCTGGCAGTTCTCTTCCACGGTACCTCTCCTCATACTCCTCCACCTCTCTCTCAATTTTCTCGTTAACTGCAACACAAACTTATGTTTCAGAGTCCTGCTGTTGGACGTCTGTAGACCAGATTAAAATAATACACTCACAGTTTTCTCCTGAGCGGTCCAGGTGGGCATTCCACTTCCCAAACTCTTTTCTGAGCGTAGAAAAGACATTGAGCCTGTCTCCACACTTAAGTTCCTCTCCTTTAGTCAGACTGATGGCATCCTGAGTGAACGCTGTCACTTTCTGAAACAGTTGTTTACAGGTGTTTCATATTTATTAAAAGACAAAGTCATGTTGGTGATGAGCAGGTAAATGTTATGTAGTGTGAAGGAGCTCACATCAATGAGGAAGATGAGTCTCTCAGCTGCGTCAGATGGAGGTCCGTTGCCATATCTCTCCAACTCTGCACGAGTCTGTTGTAGTTTCTCCTCTATCTGCTCTTCAAGTCGAGGCAGAGATTTCTGCAATTTACACAGTGAGCAAAACCTTAACACCAAAAGCAGTCTATTAATCATTTACACAGTACATTCTTTAGGGGAAGCAACAAGAAACATTCACCTCAATGTGATGCACCAGCTCAAGTGTGAGTTTCTCAGCCAGTTTAGGAACAGTGGCATGGCCGTCATTGTAGAGAGTGCTACAGCAAGAATGAAAAGCTACTGAGTACATGCTGCACAACCTGTCCAACAGTTTATTACATAAATAGTTTGTATAATTATCCAAAAAGACTGAACTTACTGGAAAAACACATGATCATTGAAGAAGGCTTTCTCTCTTTCTATTGCTTCAGTAAGAGAAACCTTCTCTGTGATCTCCTTCTGACCCCTGCACTTGACGATCATGTAGCCCTTCTTCAGGTGGATGACCTCATTATGGACAATGTCAACCACGGTCTCTTCCGTCCCTTTGTCCACCAGATCAGGCTTGGTCAAGATACCTGAGAGAGAAGAACAAACAGACAGGGAACTGTTTAGAAGTCAAGCAACGTGACCCAGTGGCCCTTTTCTGAAATCAGCTCTATTTACCCAAAGTCCTCTCTCCATCAGGATCCACCCGCTGGGCCATGTTCAAAGCCTCTGTGGTTGCTATGTCCACGTTACAAGGAACAACCACCAAGCTGATGGTTTCTTGTTTTGTGATGAACTTCTGGATAAGTCTCTTAATCTGAAAGTAATAGTTCATATTGTACATCAAGTCATAAGTTGTACTACTATCAATAGTGCCTAAGTTAGTTCTATTCACATAATAAGTTAATATTACAGGTCTAAAAGTCTATAGCCTTGTTTGTGACTCCATGATGCTTTAGGATTTTCCTTGGCAGTCTAATTTTCTTTTTTGGCCTGAGGGTTGGGAAACAGAATGCCCAGGTTTAACCTCACTGTCCATACTTTTCCACAGAACAATTTTCTACCAAAGAAACTGTCTCGATGTTGACAGCGTGATTCAGGGACAATGAAGAAGCATACCTGGTCTCCAATGTTCTCTGGCTGTCCCTTTACAGCCACCCTGGCGATGCCGGGCAGATCAATGAGCGTCAGGTCTGGAACATCAGGAGAGGCGATCTCCAGACTGATGAGGTCATCACTGATCCCCACCCCGACCCCGGCCATTTCATCCTGAGCTGAAGCAAGAGAACACCGTGTATGATGATTACAAAGGATGGAAGTGAACTGAAACCTAAAAAAATAAAATCAGCAGCTCCATCAATACTTATGTGTAAGAATACTGTACCTTCTCTAATCTTTTTCTCCACATCTGCAGGGTCTTCTATCTCTTCCTCAAAGTCCTGGTAGCTTATCTTTCCGTACCACTCCTCTCCTTCTTTCTTTCTCTTCATTTTTAGTTCGAGAGGACATCTTGTCACAATGCCTGAATTACGAAAGAGTGAATAATGAGAAAGCAGGAAAATGAGTCAACACCAGTGTGTTAAATTAGGAAAAGCAGTAGTAGGTTACATATACCAGTATTAAAGTAAGATGACTATAAGATACAAAATATGTTCCAAGCATAATAAACATGCTAGAGCAAAGTCTAACACACATTTTTCTATCGTATGGATCTACATGTACACTTAATAAACACTATACCTGCTCTCATGCATAGCATGCCATCATCAGCATTTAGTACAAAGCACCTAGATACTGCTTTAAAGAACTGCTAGCATGACTATTGGTTTTTTATTTTAAGCAGTGCAATACTCTCCTCTGGAGAGTCAAAATATCTGTCAAGAGGCCGTTTACAGGACGTTTTTTTTCGTATTGCTATTTACATGCAGTGGAAATGCTGTGTGCATGGAGCATCCATACAACCCCAGTCAGCCAGGAGTGGGCTATAATGACTGGCTGCATCTGACAACTTACTTCTTTTCAAGCATACTGAACCCTTAACTGGACACTCCCTGCCTCTGTTTAATTATTATTTTAACATTTTATGCCCTTATTAGACAGTGTCAGTAGAAAGATGACAGGATCCAAAGAAGAGAGATGCAACAAAGTCCCCCAGCTGAACCTTGAACAGGGATGTTGCAGATTATGGTCAGAATCTTAAACTCTAAGTAGATAACAACCACATAACTGTTGGTAATAATGGAGAAATAGTTACTGTACAACATTATTACCTCATTTCTACAGATAAGGTGACGGTAAACAGAGAGTCATTTTATATACATAATATTCACGGAGAGTGACCCTGCAATACAGCACTACAATGAACTGCTGCTAGGGAATAATGTTGTTGCCTACAAGTTGGCATGGTGCCCTCACCTACACCCGAGAACCTACTGTAAAACCAGCCAGGCAGGTTTGGACATTTCTATCTCATAATGGAGTTGTGCTCACGATAATAAAAAATCACATTAAAAATGAGCAGTCAGTGCCAAAAGGCAGATGGGCAAAATTATCTCGTGAACAGTATGGAGCATCTAGCAAGATGATGGAGGAGACCCAAACAGAGCGAGATGGAAATGTATTAGTGGCCAGAAACACAAATCTTAACCAATGCTTATGTTGCTCCATGTCTGCTGAATTTGTAGGCAACGGATAACTCTTTAACCAAAACAGCCTTTATAAAGGCGATAATGTGTCAGAGCAGTGTCTTTCTCAGCTTGTTGTATGTCTTCTTCCCCATGGCCAACAGCCAGTGAATGCAGCTTTAAAGCTCATCTGTCAGCCAACTGATGGTTGTTTCTAAAGTTTTCTTTTCTTCTGAAGTTGACCGATGGCACTTATGAATCCCAGTGTTTCAATATTACTGCACTGTAACTGTATTTCTTCTCTATTCCATTTGTATTTCATTTCATAGATCTTCATTTTATTCTATCACAATTGATGTTATTGTTTATGTCATTCTCATGCTTTTCTTTGCCTTTGTTTGAAAGAGATAGATAGATAGATAGATAGATAGATAGATAGATAGATAGATAGATAGATAGATAGATAGATAGATAGATAGATAGATAGTTTTGTCACTGACTGTAACTTACCACTCCCTCTCGGCAGAGCCACCCCTGACAGCGCCTCCAACACGGAGCTCTTCCCCGAGCTTTGGTCTCCAATCACGGCGATAGCAGGCAGCGCCAAGTCCTTCTCTACACCCAGAGAGCGAAGAGAGTCAATGAGGTCAATGCAGGGACGCACCTTCTCCTCATACTGCTGGTTCAGAGTGTTCATGATGATGGCTGTTGTAAAAATAAATGTGTTTTAAAAAGGAATAAAACCGCTAGAGAACCGAGCTATTCACTGGAAGGAGTGTCCGTGTGGAGCCTGCAGCATCCAGAGTGAGGTAAATGGAAACCGTAACCTCTGTTCAAATGTTGAGTTAAGTTTCGTTTCCTTATCTTTCATTTCTTCTCCCGTTCATGGGACAAACAGAACATAAACGGACCGGATGTTGAACGTAAATGTATCTACAAGGGGGGAAATGCACTTATCGTGTGTTTTAGTTGATTCCATATAGTGAGATAGAGTTATTATTGTTTGTGCAAAATACTCTACAACTGATAAAACTCCTTAGTGCGATCATTGTATTGTGTCTCAAATATGTTTAACCTGCAAGCCTGTTATTCTTTGTCTTTCAGTTATATTTCCTCACAGTGTACAGTATGTGCACATGAGGCTTCAAGTTTCAACATCACTCTTGTATTGCTGCACCACAGATGAACATCCAAGGGTTAAACTCAGATTTAAAATGACCCCCAGTGAGAAAGTAAAATAGCTTCTAGTGCCAAGTAACGATGTGCTATTTGATATTTTAAGTGGGGCAGGACTTACATCTAAATGAGCCATTCTATAAGTACAGTCCATACACATTCATTGTATAGGCTATCTATGCGTAAGATCTACATATATTAGAGTCAGAGGGAACCTGGCATCAGTGCTGGAAGGTAACTACAGTCCTCATACAATTTTAAGGACTATACTTTTGTACTTTTTATGTCATATTGTTTGTGTTTATTTTATTTAAGGAGGGACAATACACATTGCACTTGAGCCTAAGGAAACATACAGATAGTAAAACAATGACTTTACCATATGAGCACTGTTTTCTGTGCCACCATACAGCTTGCAGAGTTATATTGTGCTTTGTACTCTACATATATTCAACAGCTGGGGGTTTTATTACTTTGAAGATCAAGATTTTACAGAGGTCAGTTTGTATGATGCCCAAAATCATATAGAATGACCGTCCTCCATACTCGAGCCCCTTTGAACCTGGTACCATCTCATCTCATTTGCACACAGACACACACACACACAGACACACACATGTGCATATGAATGACTGTGGGTCAATATAGGATTGCAGAAGTTCATGCGAGAGTTTTCCAAAAGCTTCTGCTTGCTTACAGCAGACTGGCATCACATCACAAGAAACACCCATATTCATTCATCATATTTCAAACACATATAACCCAACACTGTTTCAAATAATATTTGTATTTTTTTAATAGAATTATAATGTAAAAATTATGATTAAATACTGTTTCCTCTAATACAGCAAGATTTGTTCATGAACTTCTACCTATTTAATAGATATTGTAACGCTGGTCACTCTTAGCGTTAACTTTAAACTTGATAGTTACTGTATTAAAGCTAACTTTGGGTCGTGGGTATGGCAAGAGCACAGGGACAACTTCATCTGTGTTACTTGATCCACTTTAATGTCCACTTTAACAGTAGGACAACTTAACACTACTTTGCATGATATCACTCCGCCAATCTTAACCACCAGTAACATTAGGCTACTCTTTTGAATGAATTCTTATTGAATATCAGGTACAGATAGTTGTGATTGTTTCTATTGCCTAAAGAAACTTTCAGATGAACAGTGGTCAGTTTTTACAATGTATAGAAATATTTGAAAATAATGACAAATCAAAAACCAAAGACACCCAATGTTAAACTTAGATAATGTATAAGATGTAAAATAGCTCAAGCCTGGTCCCTCCCAACATGAACTCATTTGTCAGAAAGTTGGCCAGTGGTGTTTCCTGTCCCGGCCTGAAACAGGAGGAGTTCAGCTTTTAGGTGATGTGGTGCAGCATGAAACCAGGCAACTGGCAACCTGTGATGTCCGCACTAGCAACCACACACTGAACAGAGCACATGATGGTTACTTTTTTTATCTGTTTCATTATCATTAGGTTTAAGCACACTATTTAAACTGCATAGACAAATAACAGGACAGATAGATTTGGCTTACATAATGTGAAAAAATATGGTGAGAAAGTATATAAAAAGTTTAAAATAAGTAAGCTAATCTATATGCTATTATACCATGTATCAAGTGTGCTGTGTTAAGTATAGGAGCTCCTCCGAAGTAGTTTAAAAATATTTTTAAAAAAAGATCAGGAACAGTCAGAGTACATTAAGAACCTGGTCAAACGTATTAATTACCAACAATATCCAAGTCTGGTATGATGACATGTTCAAATATTCTGATTTAGCTGTTGCATCAAAAAAATAACTTGTATACAGTATACACTCAAGACCCACTGTAACCCTAATGTAGCCAAATATTAATATATGTGAATGATTATAGAGCTAAATCATGCTGTCAGGCCTTGATACCCTCTAGAACTCCACCAGGTATGCGTGGGCCTTCATGAGGCGTTTGAGGCGACTTTCCAAAGCAGCCCTCTTGCTGCCAATGTCAAAATCCTCCTTCAGCAAGAACTCCGAATTCTCCTTGTCCTGCAGCACCTGCAGCATCTCTCTCTGCAGCTGGACGGCAGACTCCTGCAACATCTGGTAGCGGATCACCAGTGGGATCTGGTCAGACAGACGCTGGCTGGCAATCTAAAGGAGAAAACCAAGGAAAGTTTGACACACAGGGACAGTTATTCAAAAAGACACCTTGGACGCCTTACTGTCAGTACTTTTCATTTCCATGAGTCATACCTTTCAACTAAAACATACTTTGTAATAGGACTTCAGATGCAACTTCAGCTGCTGAAATGTGGCATGTTCCATGCTTAATCCATCATCAGACACATAGCTGCGTATTTCATCATCATCATCAGACAAAACTTCCTCCTCTCTCTTTCTGTCATTCAAACTGCTGCTGTAGGTCCTGTCCTGAGAGTAAACAAGCAGCTCCATCTTGAACTGGGTTCTCAGCATGGATTCAGCCGTGGACTCTTTTTCTTGCCTTATGGCTTCAATCTTTGCCTAGAAAATGAGATTCTGGTCAGTTTGAACACTAAAAAATGATGCATATTACATTTTGAGATTTAAAATACAGACAAAAACTATTTAAATGTCAACTCTGAGAAGATGGCTACCTTGGCTGTTTTCATGAGGTTGGGATATCCAGTGAAGCTACTGTGGGCCAACTGTATGAACACCTTCCTAACAGCATCTGGAGGAAACAGAAATACAAGAAGATACAGAAGCTTGATGTCCACTCAGTCCTTCACTGGTGCTTGTATGATAATAAAGGAAAGCATGAGCAATACAGAAAGACACATTAATTGGCTATATACTCAATCATATACCTCCTATGTCCTTGAGTCTCTTGACAGCTGGTTCTTCCAGCTGTTTGATCTGCTCCTTGACCATGAACTCAAAGGTCTTGTAGTTGATGAAGCCTGGCAGTTCTCTTCCACGGTACCTCTCCTCATACTCCTCCACCTCTCTCTCAATTTTCTCGTTAACTGCAACACAAACTTATGTTTCAGAGTACTGCTGTTGGACGTCTGTAGACCAGATTAAAATAATACACTCACAGTTTTCTCCTGAGTGGTCCAGGTGGGCATTCCACTTCCCAAACTCTTTTCTGAGTGTAGAAAATATGTTGCTGTCTCCACACTTAAGTTCCTCTCCTTTAGTCAGACTGATGACATCCTGAGTGAAGGCTGTCACTTTCTGAAACAGTTGTTTACAGGTGTTTCATATTTATTAAAAGACAAAGTCATGTTGGTGATGAGCAGGTAAATGTTATGTAGTGTGAAGGAGCTCACATCAATGAGGAAGATGAGTCTCTCAGCTGCGTCAGATGGAGGTCCGTTGCCATATCTCTCCAACTCTGCACGAGTCTGTTGTAGTTTCTCCTCTATCTGCTCTTCAAGTCGAGGCAGAGATCTCTGCAAATTACACAGTGAGCAAAACCTTAACACCTAAGGTAGTCTATTAATCATTTACACAGTACATTCTTTAGGGGAAGCAACAAGAAACATTCACCTCAATGTGATGCACCAGCTCAAGTGTGAGTTTCTCAGCCAGTTTAGGAACAGTGGCATGGCCATCATTGTAGAGAGTTCTACAGCAAGAATGAAAAGCTACTGAGTACATGCTGCACAACCTGTCCAACAGTTTATTACATAAATAGTTTGTATAATTATCCAAAAAGACTGAACTTACTGGAAAAACACATGATCATTGAAGAAGGCTTTCTCTCTTTCTATTGCTTCAGTAAGAGAAACCTTCTCTGTGATCTCCTTCTGACCCCTGCACTTGACGATCATGTAGCCCTTCTTCAGGTGGATGACCTCATTATGGACAATGTCAACCACGGTCTCTTCCGTCCCTTTGTCCACCAGATCAGGCTTGGTCAAGATACCTGAGAGAGAAGAACAAACAGACAGGGAACTGTTTAGAAGTCAAGCAACGTGACCCAGTGGCCCTTTTCTGAAATCAGCTCTATTTACCCAAAGTCCTCTCTCCATCAGGATCCACCCGCTGGGCCATGTTCAAAGCCTCTGTGGTTGCTATGTCCACGTTACAAGGAACAACCACTAGGCTGATGGTTTCTTGTTTTGTGATGAACTTCTGGATCAGTCTCTTAATCTGAAAGTAATAGTTCATTATTGTACATCAAGTCATAAGTTGTACTACTATCAATAGTGCCTAAGTTAGTTCTATTCACATAATGAGTTAATATTACAGGTCTAAAAGTCTATAGCCTTGTTTGTGACTCCATGATGCTTTAGGATTTTCCTTGGCAGTCTAATTTTCTTTTTGGCCTGAGGGTTGGGAAACAGAACGCCCAGGTTTAACCTCACTGTCCATACTTTTCCACAGAACAATTTTCTACCAAAGAAACTGTCTCGATGTTGACAGCGTGATTCAGGGACAATGAAGAAGCATACCTGGTCTCCAATGTTCTCTGGCTGTCCCTTTACAGCCACCCTGGCGATGCCGGGCAGGTCAATGAGCGTCAGGTCTGGAACATCAGGAGAGGCGATCTCCAGACTGATGAGGTCATCACTGATCCCCACCCCGACCCCGGCCATTTCATCCTGAGCTGAAGCAAGAGAACACCGTGTATGATGATTACAAAGGATGGAAGTGAACTGAAACCTAAAAAAATAAAATCAGCAGCTCCATCAATTCTTATGTGTAAGAATACTGTACCTTCTCTAATCTTTTTCTCCACATCTGCAGGGTCTTCTATCTCTTCCTCAAAGTCTTGGTAGCTTATCTTTCCGTACCACTCCTCTCCTTCTTTCTTTCTCTTCATCTTCAGTTCGAGAGGACATCTTGTCACAATGCCTGAATTACGAAAGAGTGAAAATGAGAAAGCAGGAAAATGAGTCAAAACCAGTGTGTTAAATTATGAAAAGCAGTAGTAGGTTACATATACTAGTATTATAAAAGTAAGATGACTATAAGATACAAAATATGGTCCATGCATAATAAATATGCTAGAGAGAAGTCTAACACAATTTTTTTTCTTTCCAAAATCCACGACCCAAATGTAAACAGGGACATGTCTATAATATGGATCTACATGTACACCTGGTAGACACTATACCTGTTCTTATGCATAACAAGCCATCATTGGCATTTAGTACAAAGCACCTAGGTACTGCTTCAAAGCACCTAGCCATGCTATTGTTTTGTTATTTTAAGCAATTGAGTCAAATATCTGTCAATTTTTGTTGAATTTTCCTTTCGTATGCAGTATTGTGTGTGCATGGAGCATCCAGTACAACCCCAGCCAGCCAGGAGTGGACTATAATGACTGGCTGCATCCAACAACTTAGTTCTTTTCAAGCATACTGAACCCTAAACTGGACACTCCCTGACTCTGTTTTAATTATTATTTTGACATTTTATGCCCTTATTAGACAGTGTCAGTAGAAAGATGACAGGACCCAAAGGAGAGAGATCCAACAAAGTCCCCCAGCTGAACCTTGAAAAGGGATGTTGCAGATTATGGTCAGAATCTTAAACTCTAAGTAGATAACAACCACATAAGATACCTGTTGGTAATAATGGAGAAATAGTTACTGTACAACATTATCACCTAATTTCTATATCTCTCAGACTTTTAGATTTGCAGAGAGAATTTATTTATTTTAAATCCATACTTATATTTATTCACTGGGAGTGACCCTGCAATACAGCACTACAATGAACAGCTGCCAGGGAATAATGTTGTTGCCTACAAGTTGGCCTGGTGCCCTCACCTACACCAGAGAACCTGCTGTAAAACCAGCCAAGCCGGTTTGGACATTTCCATCATTTCCATAATTGATAATGGAGTCGTGCTCACTAAAATAGAAAATGACATTAAAAATTAGCAGTGAGTGCCAACTGGTATGGAGCATCTAGCAAGATGATGGAGGAGACCCAAACAGAGCGAGATGGAAACGTATTAGTGGCCAGAAACACAAATCTTAACCAATGCTTATGTTGCTCCATGTCTGCTGAATTTGTAGGCAACGGATAACTCTTTAACAAAAACAGCCTTTATAAAGGCGATAATGTGTCAGAGCAGTGTCTTTCTCAGCTTGTTGTGTGTCTTCTTCCCCATGGCCAACAGCCAGTGAATGCAGCTTTAAAGCTCATCTGACAGCCAACTGATGGTTGTTTCTAAAGTTTTCTTTTCTTCTGAAGTTGACCGATGGTACTTATGAATCCCAGTGTTTCAATATTATTGCACTGTAACTGTATTTCTGCTCTATTCCATTTGTATTTCATTTCATAAATCTTCATTTTATTCAATCACAATTGATGTTATTGTTTATGTCATTCTCATACTTTTCTTTGCCTTTGTTTGAAAGAGATAGATAGATAGATAGATAGATAGATAGATAGATAGATAGATAGATAGATAGATAGATAGACAGTTTTGTCACTGACTGTAACTTACCACTCCCTCTCGGCAGAGCCACCCCTGACAGCGCCTCCAACACGGAGCTCTTCCCCGAGCTTTGGTCTCCAATCACGGCGATAGCAGGTAGCGCCAAGTCCTTCTCTACACCCAGAGAGCGAAGAGAGTCAATGAGGTCAATGCAGGGACGCACCTTCTCCTCATACTGCTGGTTCAGAGCGTTCATGATGATGGCTGTTGTAAAAAATAAATGTGTTTTAAAAAGGAATAAAACCGTTGGAGAACCGAGCTATTGACTGGAAGGAGTGTCCGTGTGGAGCCTGCAGCATCCAGAGTGAGGTAAATGGAAACTGTAACCTCTGTTCAAAAGTAGAGTTATGTTTCATTTCTTCTGCTGTTCATGGGACAAACAGAACATAACCGGGCCGAAAGTTGAACATAAATTCGTCTAGAAAGGGGAAAAAATACTTTCATCATGTATTTTAGTTGATTCCATATTGTGAGATAGAGTTATTATTATGGTTGTGCAAAATATTCTACAACTTATGATTTAGGTTACTTTTGATAAAAACTCCTTAGTGCGATCATTTTATTGTACCTCAACAATAATTAACCTGCTTCGAGTGCCAAGTAACGATGTGCTATTTGATATTTTAAGTGGGGCAGGACTTACATCTAAATGAGCCATTCTATAAGTACAGTCCATACACATTCATTGTATAGGCTATCTATGCGTAAGATCTACATATATTAGAGTCAGAGGGAACCTGGCATCAGTGCTGGAAGGTAACTACAGTCCTCATACAATTTTAAGGACTATACTTTTGTACTTTTTATGTTATATTGTTTGTGTTTATTTTATTTAAGGAGGGACAATACACATTGCACTTGAGCCCAAGGAAACATACAGATAGTAAAACAATGACTTTACCATATGAGCACTGTTTTCTGTGCCACCATACAGCTTGCAGAGTTATATTGTGCTTTGTACTCTACTGTCACCGGCCAGCCGTGCCCCTTTAAGACGGTGGCCCAGTGTGTGTGTGTGTGTGTGTGTGTGTGTGTGTGTGTGTGTGTGTGTCGTACAGGTGCAGGAAGGAAAACAGGAAGAGAAGAAGTAGACATCCACGGTGACAGACGGACGTAGAAGAGCTAGCTCATGTTAACGCCGAGGTGTTTAGTACACAGCAGTGTCCAGACAGAATTTGACCAGGCCCGGTGTTGTGTTCTGCCTTTGTTAAAGAGAGGAATTAAATGTGTGGTTTTGCACGAAAGTCTTTACTTCGTCCTTCTTCCTTCCCACACTCGAGCCCCTTTGAACCTGGTACAATCTCATCTCATTTGCACACAGACACACACACACACACACACACACGTATATGAATGACTGTGGGTCAATATAGGATTGCAGAAGTTCATGCAAGAGTTTTCCAAAAGCTTCTGCCTGCAGACTGCCAGCAGACTGGCATCACATCACAAGAACCACCAGTGCCGGCCCGTGGCATAGGCAGTATAGGCAAACGCTATTTTTATAGTAAAACTAGTTGGTGCGATTATTTCTTAGTATGAAAGAAATAAGCCCACATTAATTTGACTGCATAGCAAAGCCTATTAAACAATAATAATACTTTATTAAGCCCCCCCCACCTGCTCTCTGAGAGTTTTCTGACGTCACCCCAGAAACCATTAACAATGTCAAAACGACCAAAACTGTCCGGTGCCCAGGGAAGGAAAGAAGGAAAAGAAGAGGAGGAGAAACGCGACAAAGACAGAGGTAGAGTAAAGATAATGAGATGAAATGATTTGTCTGTTGCAGAACGATAGTAACCTTTATTTTAACACGGTTTGCTAATCAATAAATAGCGTTAGCTCGTTTTAACCATAGACATAATCAGTTCATGTTATGGAGGGGCCCCAACAGCTGTTATGGAAAAAAGTAATACTCCCACCTTCTATTTCTCAGGGACATTTGTAAAGATTAGATCTATTCAGCAGGTGTTTACATTTGTCTACATTTTTATTTGTATTTATTATTGGTCAGCTAACGTTTGCTCTGCTTATAACAGTCAGTCAAATGCTATTCCTTTCACACACCTTTATATATTAGAGTTGTAAGCCTTGTTGTTTGTTGTGTTACAGTTCAGTATTGTCTAAAGTGTGTTAATAGTGTTCAACTTTACATCCATGTTAAAGTGCACATCATTAATGTTAATACATTCCCATATGTTATATTATACTGCAGTTTACTGCTTCTTTGCATTCTGCTAAGCAGCATTTCACTGTAATGACAATAAGATTAAATCTAATCTAATTTGCATATCAGAAGAAATTGCACAGTATATCATTCATGTACAGTACAGTGAAAGTAATGCTTCTCTTAGGTTTTTAATTTTTATTATTTAAATTTTATTCTTGGAATCATTTATTTTATTATTAGACCCAACGATGTCACTTACTCCTCTTCTCTCTTCAGATGCGCTGTTGAAATATCTAAATCCAGCTCCTGCAAATCCTGGGCCATCTACAGTCATCACCGCTTCCACAGCATCAAGTGATCCTCCTGTCGCCTCCACCTCAGAAGAACCCAGTGATGCAGCATCAGAAATAAAGGCTGCACCAATAGACCCTGCTGACTGGCCATCTCCTCTAATTTATTATTTTCTTGTTAGCTGTTTTGATTGAGCAACTTGTTTCTCTACACATAAAATAAAATGTCAAAGACAAAGCTATTCAGTTTCTTGCGTGAGTATACGTATGTATATAACTGGCAGTGGAATATACTGCGATGCAAGGAGGGCGCCACCTAAAATCTTGTCTAGGGCGCAAAATTGGTTAGGGCCGGGCCTGTATGGACGAGTCGAAACTGCAGCCAGTGAAAGCAGCTCAGAAAGTATGAATGAGTATCTTAGAGTTGAAGATTAATGAAAAACTGGGAAGTTCAAACTTTCTGTCCGTAACTGCTGGAAACTGCTCATAACACAGGGCTAATTTACTTATCATGTGTGATGTTATTTGAGTTGTTTTTTCGGTCGTTACCAAAGTAACTACACTCATTTGCTGGTTACTGTTTAGTTCTGGAGAGACTGCACATACCTTCCAATAAAATTAAACATTAAGTGTTCCATCTTTCTATCACTGACAGTCCAACAAGGGCTGCGTATTCATGAGCTATTTAGCATCGACCATTTATGGATAACAGTGGGACACACTGAGCACTTTTAAAAAAAATAAAATCTAACATTTCTGTTATGTTTATTTCTCAGGAACTAAAATATCCCAATAAACATTGTTTATATCTTATAATTAACTCCAATACTAACCATTTCAATCAATATTTAGTGCAATGATAATTTACTTCTCATAGATCATGGTTTAATGAAGATAATTCACTCGTTTTTCATGAAAAATGCAAAAAATTGTTAAAAGTATTTTTTCGGTATGAAACTTCTGCTTGGCTTAATAAGTGTAATCAACATATAAAATGAAAATGGTTTATTTCATATATTTGCAACCCTGTTTATATAACATATACACTGTTCGGCTCAATTTGACCCGGCAGTCAAAGTGGAGGCTCATAGGGGTCAGAAGTGTCATATACTATTTGTTTCTTTGCAACTGTGAGACACATTTCACCCCAATCACACACCCACACACCCACACAAACACACACGCTCCCTATTCTCTTGACCCCATCTGTAAAGTGGAGAATGCCGGTGTGGTTCCAGCATAAAGTCACTTTTGAATGTGTTACTTGGAGGAATAGGAATATCAGTTTATGCATTTTGTTCATCATCAGAATCATCAGAGGCTGAATCTCTTCTGTTTCCGTGGGCAAACTCTGAAACTCATCTTTGATCACGACAGTGAAACAGAAGAAGATGAAGACCATTTTGAGGTCAATTCTGAGTCTGGTGATTTTGATGATGAACAAAATGAAGAAACTGCTATTCCTATTCCTCCAAGTAACACATTTAAAAGTGACTTTTTGCTGTAACCACACCTGCATTCTCGCACTTTACAGATGGGGTCAAGAAAATAGGGAGAGGTGTGTGTGTGTGTGTGTGTGTGTGATTTGGGTGAAATATGTCTCACAGTAGCAAAGAAACAAATAATATATGACACGTCTGACCCCTTTTAGTCTCCATTTGACATAACAGAAGGGTTAACAATAACAATAACAATAATCAAGGTCTTTCAGTTGGCCTTCTTTAAGATCTTGTCCAGCGCCCGCCTTTCTCTCTCCGGGACAATCTTTTTCCACAGGTTTGTAAAGTCCTTGTGGAGGGCAAGGTCATGGAGCATCGTTTGTCCATGTTGCCTGTGGAGGAACGTGTTTTTCATTTAGCTCAATGTTCAGAAAAATAAACAAACGAGAGCTACATATCACAAGATTTGGCAAAATTGTGCACTAAATTTATATAACTCGATAACCCACCTTACTTCCGGAGCAGCATCCACGGACATTTTGGAGACAGCAGTAAGGAAGCGCGCAGTAAAGGTCCTCCCTGCTGTCACAATGTGAGCCGCTCCTAGGCTGTCAGCCAACAGGTGCAGGTGTTGTGCTGTGCTCCGTCTTACTGCAACACAACGGTGGCTGAAGGAGGACGAAGACAGGGGAGTATGAGACAAACAAGTCAAGTATGTTTCATGTCAGTTTACATTACTTTGTTTTAACACTATATTATAAAATGAAATCTCTTCACTTACCTCAGTCCTGCGTTCAACAGAGCGCTCACAACCCGACCATGGCTGCAGTTTTGCACCATGGCATCGAGTGCTAGATTAGCCTGCTGATGAATAAAGGTGTTGGTGGTCTGCGCCAGTTTCAACAGCAGAGCTCGACCTGTCCTCTCTGCCTCCGGGTCCATGGCCTTCTGCAAGTGAACATGAAGCTGAGCTACGGTGTTCATAGCTGCACATGACACTGCCGACCGTAGGTTTTTCACCTGTACAGGGAGAATAAACATCTTCAGTCAAGACTGCAGTGTGCTCAGCAAATGAGAATGCATTAAAAACAAAGAGGGAAACAAAGGTTTAAAGAGGAAAGTGTGTACAATACCTCCTGAGTGAGAACCAGACACACTTCATGAAGTTTGGTCTTCAAGGTCTCTGAGTGGTGCTGCACCAGAGCTTGCATCGTTTTCAAGCCGTTTATTTTCTTCATCCTGTATGTTTATGCAACAAGAATGCATTAACCACACTGTGCAACACTTCAGGAACAACACAAATAGTCCTAACACGCCTGCACTTTAAACTGCTACTGCAAATGTCGCCCACTGTAAATCTAAAGCATAATAAACTGCAATTTTATGCTACACTAAGATGTTACACCAACTGATATAAGTTACAGTTCACAATATATTCACTGGCTCCTCACTAGAGTGTAAAATATCTTTTGGAAGGGTGTATTGGTGTAAAACCGATGTGTATGGTGTCAAACTAGCTGTAACTCCCTGACTCAAGATCAAGTGTTCACTGAGCTGGTAGTCCTCTAGTGTCAGTGTCTTACCAGTCGTCTGAAGAGAGCTGCTGGAAGAAGAGTGACAGGCTTTGCAGAGGGTTGGTCAGTGGCTGCAGCTCAACCTTTTTTTTATTTGCCGTCTGGGGCCTGCAGTCACTGGCTGTCTTCTTGCCTGGTAAACGACAAAATACTCTTAAGTCACCTTTATTTCATTCAAAGCATTGTTACTTAGCGCAGCTACTATAAGTCTTTACAAAACCTATGAAAAAGTAGGAACTACTATCATTCAGGATGGGTACAGAAGAACTCACTGGCTTCACTGACAGCTTTTGCAGGGCGTAGCAACATCCCAGGTCTAGTTACTCTTCTTTTAGTTTGAGAAACGGCTGGAGGGATTGGGGCCAAAGGCGTTACTACAGGGGTCCTCTTGGCAGCCGCTGGAGGTCGAGGTGAAGGGACAGAGTTGAGCCAGAAGTTCACTGTAGCCTTAACATGATTCTGAACCGACTGGAGCTTACATCCATCGACCTTCTTTTCTGCTGAGATTAATGGCAAAATAGGCATCACTTGAATTTTTACTGCACTTGCTAAAGTAAAGTTCAATGGTTTGCAACTCCAAGAGACCCAAAAACCCAAAAGAAGCAGTAGGAGTCCCCACAAAAGAAATCCGTCCCCATTCAACAGTAGGTATTTAAAGAAACTTACCTGCTACTCTGAGTTTAGTAGACAACACGGGCAGACGAGACACTCTAGTCCTGTGTAGTGGAACTGCTTCAGGAGGAGGAGTTGGCTTTAATGTTGGAATCTCAACAGGGTTTCCAATCAGAGAAATGGCCCTCAGCTCTCTGGGTGTGTCACTTTCCACAGAGCTCCACACAGAAGTGACGGAAGATGTTGGGCTCCGGTCACCGTCTACCATCTGGTCCTCCTTACATGCCCGTGCTGCCACCTGACTGCCAAGATGAACCTTGTCCCCTTTTGAATGGTCAGGACTCTTCTGCTTTGGGTTGATGTCCTTTACAACCAAGACAGGCCCATCTAAAATGGGGCAGAACCTCCTTCCTTGCCGATAGTGCAGGGATTGCCGAGGGGACTTTGCACTTTGTCTGGGAACAGGTGGCGGATGAAGTGAATGCCGGGCGACATCCTGAACGGAGAGTCCCAGTCTCTCCAGAACAGCTTTACTTCGGGCTTGCCGTGCAGCAAACAGACTGTCTGTGCCTTGACTTAACGCAGCCTTCTGCATCTCCAGGATCTTGGACTCGCTGGTGAAGAAGCCATCAGGGTTCTTCCGGCTTACAGTTTGCTGTGGACAAGTACAACAAAATAACTGAGTAACTTATAATACCTATGACTCTTCTAAGATGTCAGAGAAGTTTTTAAAGCAATCAACTGCTCTGTATGTGTCTGTGAAAGACCTTTAGATATGAACAGAAGGAAAGTCAGAGATCAGTAGAGTTGGTTACTTACATCACCGTCGTCACACTGGGTCTGCTTCCAGAGTCGAGGGAAGACGTTCAATTTCTTTTGCTTATCCATAACTTTGAGAATAACACTACTAAATTGTTCACACAAGGAAACAACTTTGTTTTCACACTGACTGTCTCTCAGATCAGATCGATATGTGACTGACTGGTGCAGGGTTCTACAGTTAGTACAGGGACATCTAGAATGGAACCAAAGAACCCAGGATCATTCCATACTGAATTCTGTATTCTGTATTCCGTGTGTGTCACTGAGTCTGTTATATACATATATATACATACATCAATATTATATTTGGAGAGTGCATCTTATATTTTATCTCAAAAAGTGGTTCAAATTGAAAAACAGGAGCAATCCTGATCCAGTCTTCCCACTCTCCTCTGCATATATTCAACTCTCACATTAATTTCCCCTCTCTCTTCACCTGATCCCTCGGCAAATCGTCGAGTATGTCATCCCCAATCTTGACTCTGATGACTGTTTAACCACATTTAATTAGTTTGAATCTGACATTTATTACCAAAAGTAATTTTTTCTGGTAGAAAATGTATTCCTATACTTAACATGAGCTCTCTCACTGTAATGGGGCCTTAATGAGTTATATTTCTGCTACGACAGAAAACCACTGCTGCTGCCAGAAGTACTTTACTTCTCTTATCAATCAATCAGTCATAACAAAGTACTGTGGGTATTTCATGTCTGGAAGCAGCAAACCAGTGCCGGCCCGTGGCATAGGCAGTATAGGCAAATGCTAAGGGAGCCGTCCATCTAGGGGGTGCCACAATGGGGGAAGAAAAAAAAAAGGTGCAACTTTCAATATTTTTATTCTAAAACTAGTTGGTGCTATTATTTCTTAGTATGAAAAAAATAAGCCCACATTAATTTGACTGCATAGCAAAGCCTATTAAATAATAATAAGTCTAATCACAGCTCTATCGAGCCACATATCCCCATAAACTTAAGTAGCAATGACTTCATGAGCTTCTTCTATAATAAAATTATTACTATTAGAGAAAAAATTAATCACCAACTGCCATCAACAGTTATCAGTGGCTCTCCAAGTTCAGGGACTTCTGTCAATGTAAACTTAGATGTATATTTAGACTGTTTTTCTGCTATCGATCTTCATCAGTTAACTTCAATCATTTCTTCATCGAAGCCATCAACCTGTCTATTAGACCCGATCCCAACTAGGCTGCTTAAAGAAGTTGTTCCCTTAATTGGCACTTCTTTACTGGATATGATTAATCTTTCTTTATTATCAGGATATGTACCACAGTCCTTTAAAGTAGCTGTAATTAAACCCCTTCTTAAAAAGTCCACTCTTGACCCAGGGGTTTTAGCCAACTATAGACCGATTTCTAACCTCCCCTTCCTCTCTAAGATTCTGGAGAAAGTAGTCGCCAAAGAGTTGTGTGACTTTCTACATAACAATAGTTTATTTGAGGATTTTCAGTCAGGATTTAGAGTTCATCATAGCACAGAGACAGCTCTGGTTAAAGTTAATAATGACCTTCTGACTGCTTCTGACAATGGACTTGTCTCTGTACTTGTATTATTAGATCTTAGTGCTGCATTTGACACCACTGACCATGATATTCTTTTACAGAGACTTGAGCATCAAACTGGCATTAAAGGAACTGCCCTAACCTGGTTTAAGTCATACTTATCAGATCGTTCTCAGTTTGTACATGTTAACGATGAATCCTCCATAAATACTAAAGTTAGTCATGGAGTTCCACAAGGTTCTGTACTTGGACCAATACTATTTACTTTATATATGCTCCCTTTAGGCAACATTATTAGGAATCACTCCATTAACTTTCACTGTTATGCAGATGATACGCAGTTATATCTATCAATCAAACCCAATGAAATTAATCAATTATCTAAATTACAAACATGTCTTAAGGACATAAAATCCTGGATGACCTGCAATTTTCTGATGTTAAACTCAGAAAAAAACGAAATTCTTGTTCTTGGCCCCAAAAACCTTAGAGACTCATTGTCTAAAGATATAGTCACTCTAGATGGCATTAACTTGGCCTCTAGCACCACTGTCAGGAATCTTGGAGTTATCTTTGATCAGGATTTGTCATTTAACTCCCACATAAAGCAGACCTCTAGGACTGCCTTCTTTCATTTACGTAATATTAGAAAAATTAGACACATACCATCACAGACAGATGCAGAAAAACTAATCCATGCATTTGTTACTTCAAGGCTGGATTACTGCAACTCTTTATTATCAGGTTGCCCCAATAAGTCCATTAAAACGCTCCAATTAATTCAGAACGCTGCAGCACGAGTACTGACAGGAACTAGAAAAAGAGATCACATCTCTCCTGTACTAGCTACTCTGCATTGGCTCCCTATAAAATGTAGAATTGAATTTAAAATCCTCCTCCTCACCTATAAAGCTCTTCATGGTCAGGCCCCTTCATATCTTAAAGAGCTCATAGTACCCTATTACCCCACTAGAACACTACGTTCTCTGAATGCTGGGCTACTTGTGGTTCCTATAGTCTCTAAAAGTAGAACAGGAGCCAGAGCCTTCAGTTACCAAGCTCCTCTCCTGTGGAACCAGCTTCCAGTTGTGGTTCGGGAGGCAGACACCCTCACCACATTCAAGAGTAGGCTTAAGACATTCCTCTTTGATAAAGCTTATAGTTAGGGCTGGATCAGGTGAGTCCTGAACCATCCCTTAGTTATGCTGCTATAGGCCTAGACTATCGGGGTATTTCCCATGGTGCACTGAGCTACTCTCTTCCTCTCTCTTTCTGCACTCATTCATGTCCCTTTAATGCATGTTACTAACTCCACTTCTTCCCCGGAGTTCTTGTGCTTTCTCGTCTCGCAGGTTCTCATGGATCCTGGTGGAGCCTCCTGCCATGGTCCTGCTTGACTGCCATTGCCAATACTGTTGTTGCTGTGCACCTGTCTGTCTGTCTGTCTCTCTCTCTCTGCCTCTCTCTCTCTCTCTCTCTCTCTCACCCCAACTGGTCGAGACAGACGACCACCCACCTAGAGCCGGAGGATCTGTCCTAGGTTTCTGCCTTTTAACAGGCAGTTTTTCCTTGCCCTTGTCGCCAAGTGCTTGCTAATGGTGGTACTGTTGGGTCTCTGTAATTAATGTTAAAGAGTTCGGTCTAGACCTGCTCTATTTGAAAAGTGTCCTGAGATAACTTCTGTTATGAATTGGCGCTATACAAATAAAATTGAATTGAATTGAATTGAATTGAATTAATCTAATCTAATTTGCATATCAGAAAAAATTGCAATGTATATCATTCATGTACAGTACAGTGAAAGTAATGCATCTCTTAGGTTTTTCATTTCTATTATTTAATTTTATTCTTGGAATCATTTCTTTTATTATTAGACCCAATGGTGTCATTTACTCCTCTTCTCTCTTCAGATGCGCTGTTGAAATATCTAAATCCAGCTCCTGCAAATCCTGGGCCATCTACAGTCATCATCGCTTCAACAGCATCAAGTGATCCTCCTGTCGCCTCCACCTCAGAAGAACTCAGTGATGCAGCATCAGGAATAAAGGCTGCACCAATAGACCCTGCTGACTGGCCATCTCCTCTAATTTATTATTTTCTTGTTAACTGTTTTGATTGAGCAACTTGTTTCTCTAAAAATAAAATAAAATGTCAAAGACAAAGCTATTTAGTTTCTTGCGTGAGTATACCTACGTATATAACTGGCAGTGGAATTTACTGCGATGCAAGGGGGGCACCACCTAAAATCTTGCCTAGGGCGCAAAATTGGTTAGGGCCGGACCTGACCATCAGTAACATTACTCTTTTGAATGAACTCTTATTGAATATCAGGTAAAGATAGTTGTGATTGTTTCTATTGCCTAAAGAAACTTTCAGATGAACAGTGGTCAGTTTTTACAATGTATAGAAATATTTGAAAATAATGACGAATCAAAAGCCAAAGACACCCAATGTTAAACTTAGATAATGTATAAGATGTAAAATAGCTCAGGCCTGGTCCCTCCCAACATGAACTCATTTGTCAGAAAGTTGGCCTGTGGTGTTTCCTGTCCCAGCCTGAAACAGGAGTTCAGCTTTTAGGTGATGTGGTGCAGCATGAAACCAGGCAACTGGCAACCTGTGATGTCCGCACTAGCAACCACACACTGAACAGAGCACATGATGGTTACTTTTTTTTTATCTGTTTCATTATAATTAGGTTTAAGCACACTATTCAAACTGTACAAAAAAATAACTGGACAGGATAGATTTTGCTTTCATAATGTGAAAAAGTATACAAAAAATTAAAAATAAGTAAGCTAATCTATATTCAATTATGTGACATGTTTCGAAAAAAACTAGGTAAGCTTATCAATATTCTATTATACAGTATATCAAGTGTGCTGTGTTAAGAATGGGAGCTCCTCTGAAGTAGTTAAAAAAGATAAAGAAAAAAAAAACAGTCAGAGTACATGAAAAACCTGGTAAAACGTATTAATTACCAACAATATCCAAGTCTGGTCCTCACCATATGAGACAGAATCATCATGTCGCTGCAGTGTTTCTGATTCATTCTTGTTCTGATGACTGGTTGAACAATTTTTTTATAGTAACTGTTAGTAACTTATAGTTTTGAGACCATTTTCTGATAGGATGACATGTTCAAATATTCAGATTTAGCTGTTGCATCAAATAAATAACTTGTGTACAGTATACACTCAAGACCCACTGTAACAAATAATGTACCCACCCCTAATGTACCCAAATATTAATGTATGTAAATGGTTAAAAAGCAAAATCGTGCTGTCAGGCCTTGATACCCTCTAGAACTCCACCAGGTATGCGCGGGCCTTCATGAGGCGTTTGAGGCGACTTTCCAAAGCAGCCCTCTTGCTGCCAATGTCAAAATCCTCCTTCAGCAAGAACTCCGAATTCTCCTTCTCCTGCAGCACCTGCAGCATCTCTCTCTGCAGCTGGACGGCAGACTCCTGCAACATCTGGTAGCGGATCACCAGTGGGATCTGGTCAGACAGACGCTGGCTGGCAATCTGAAGGAAGAAACAGAAGAAGTGAAAGATGAGGGCCGTTATTGAAAAACAACCTCTGTCAAAACCTTTCTGTTATTGCTTTGGTTCATGAATGATTCCTCTAGATTAAAACTTACTTTGTAATACGACTTAAGGTGCAACATCAGCTCCTGAAGCGTTGCATGATTGTCCATGCAGTAAACAATACTCCTTTCTTTATTAACTGATACACCTCTCTCTTTGTTTTCGTCCTCATCCTCCTCTCTCTTTCTGTCATTCAAACTGCTGCTGTAGGACCTGTCCTGAGAGTAAACAAGCAGCTCCATCTTGAACTGGGTTCTCAGCATGGTTTCAGCCGTGGACTCTTTTTCTTGCTTTATGGCTTCAATCTTTGCCTAGAAAATGAGATTCTGGTCAGTTCGAACACTGAAAAATTATACATTTTGTCAAAATACTGACGACTACTTAAATGTCAACTCTGAGCTGATGGCTACCTTGGCTGTTTTCATGAGGTTGGGATATCCAGTGAAGCTACTGTGGGCCAGCTGTATGAACACCTTCCTAACAGCATCTGAAGGAAACAGAAATACAAGAAGATACAGCAGCTTGATGTCCACTCAGTCCTTCACTGGTGCTTGTATGATAATAAAGGAAAGCATGAGCAATACAAAAGACACATTCAATCGGTCATATACTCAATCATATACCTCCTATGTCCTTGAGTCCCTTGACAGCTGGTTCTTCCAGCTGTTTGATCTGCTCCTTGACCATGAACTCAAAGGTCTTGTAGTTGATGAAGCCTGGCAGTTCTCTTCCACGGTACCTCTCCTCATACTCCTCCACCTCTCTCTCAATTTTATCGTTAACTGCAACACAAACTTATGTTTCAGAGTCCTGCTGTTGGACGTCTGTAGACCAGATTAAAATAATACACTCACAGTTTTCTCCTGAGTGGTCCAGGTGGGCATTCCACTTCCCAAACTCTTTTCTGAGTGTAGAAAAGACATTCAGCCTGTCTCCACACTTAAGTTCCTCTCCTTTAGTCAGACTGATGGCATCCTGAGTGAACGCTGTCACTTTCTGAAACAGTTGTTTACAGGTGTTTCATATTTATTAAAAGACAAAGTCATGTTGGTGATGAGCAGGTAAATGTTATGTAGTGTGAAGGAGCTCACATCAATGAGGAAGATGAGTCTCTCAGCTGCGTCAGATGGAGGTCCGTTGCCATATCTCTCCAACTCTGCACGAGTCTGTTGTAGTTTCTCCTCTATCTGCTCTTCAAGTCGAGGCAGAGATCTCTGCAATTTACACAGTGAGCAAAACCTTAACACCTAAGGTAGTCTATCAGTCATTTACACAGTACATTCTTTAGGGGAAGCAACAAGAAACATTCACCTCAATGTGATGCACCAGCTCAAGTGTGAGTTTCTCAGCCAGTTTCGGAACAGTGGCAAGACCGTCATTGTAGAGAGTGCTACAGCAAGAATGAAAAGCTACTGAGTACATGCTGCACAACCTGTCCAACAGTTTATTACATAAATAGTTTGTATAATTATCCAAAAAGTCTGAACTTACTGGAAAAACACATGATCTTTGAAGAAGGCTTTCTCTCTTTCTATTGCTTCAGTAAGAGAAACCTTCTCTGTGATCTCCTTCTGACCCCTGCACTTGACGATCATGTAGCCCTTCCTCAGGTGGATGACCTCATTATGGACAATGTCAACCACGGTCTCTTCCGTCCCTTTGTCCACCAGATCAGGCTTGGTCAAGATACCTGAGAGAGAAGAACAAACAGACAGGGAACTGTTTAGAAGTCAAGCAACGTGACCCAGTGGCCCTTTTCTGAAATCAGCTCTATTTACCCAAAGTCCTCTCTCCATCAGGATCCACCCGCTGGGCCATGTTCAAAGCCTCTGTGGTTGCTATGTCCACGTTACAAGGAACAACCACCAAGCTGATGGTTTCTTGTTTTGTTATGAACTTCTGGATCAGTCTCTTAATCTGAAAGTAATAGTTCATATTGTACATCAAGTCATAAGTTGTACTACTATCAATAGTGCCTAAGTTAGTTCTATTCACATAATGAGTTAATATTACAAGACTGAAAGTCTATAGCCTTGTTTGTGGCTCAATGATGCTTTAGGATTTTCCTTGGCAGTCTAATTTTCTTTTTGGCCTGAGGGTTGGGAAACAGAACGCCCAGGTTTAACCTCACTGTCCATACTTTTCCACAGAACAATTTTCTACCAAAGAAACTGTCTCGATGTTGACAGCGTGATTCAGGGACAATGAAGAAGCATACCTGGTCTCCAATGTTCTCTGGCTGACCCTTTACAGCCACCCTGGCGATGCCGGGCAGATCAATGAGCGTCAGGTCTGGAACATCAGGAGAGGCGATCTCCAGACTGATGAGGTCATCACTGATCCCCACCCCGACCCCGGCCATTTCATCCTGAGCTGAAGCAAGAGAACACCGTGTGTGATGATTACAAAGGATGGAAGTGAACTGAAACCTTAAAAAATTAAAACAGCAGCACCATCAATACTTATGTGTAAGAATACTGTACCTGCTCTAATCTTTTTCTCCACATCTGCAGGGTCTTCTATCTCTTCCTCAAAGTCCTGGTAGCTTATCTTTCCGTACCACTCCTCTCCTTCTTTCTTTCTCTTCATCTTCAGTTCGAGAGGACATCTTGTCACAATGCCTGAATTACGAAAGAGTGAATAATGAGAAAGCAGGAAAATGAGTGAAAACCAGTGTGTTTGGTGAAATTATGAAAAGCAGTAGTAGGTTATACCAGTATTATAAATGTAAGATGAATATAAGGTACAAAATATGTTCCAAGCATAATAAATATGCTAGAGAGAAGTCTAACTTGCATTGCTGGTCCTGCCAGCGGCGTCCCTCCCCAGCGTTACTATCGGTATGATTCGCTATACTACGAGTTTGTTTACCATCGAAATGACTTCGAAGCTGTTATATTAAGGTACAAATCTTGCATAGTGTGCCTTTAAAAATGAGGAGTCAGTGCCAAAAGGCAGATGGACAAAATTAAACTAGTGAACAACATCTAGCAAGATGATGGAGGAGACCAACAACAGAGTTAGATAGACAGTTTTGTCACTGACTGTAACTTACCACTCCCTCTCAGCAGAGCCACCCCTGACAGCGCCTCCAACACGGAGCTCTTCCCCGAGCTTTGGTCTCCAATCACGGCGATAGCAGGTAGCGCCAAGTCCTTCTCTACACCCAGAGAGCGAAGAGAGTCAATGAGGTCAATGCAGGGACGCACCTTCTCCTCATACTGCTGGTTCAGAGCGTTCATGATGAGGACTTCTTGTCTCCTGTAAAAAGGAAATGAAAGATAACTAAATGAAAATTCTTGCCAGTGTCGTCGAAAGTCAGATTTTAATCAGCTCAGTGTGACGGATGTAAATAGTGCACATTGCGATGCAACCAGAAAAACAGGGTGTGTTCCTCATGTGACAAATGCTTTAGTTTTAAGGTTTTGTGAAGGAGCCTACCTAGTTGACTAGTCAGGGTCAATACTTGAGGTAATATACTGTAAATTCAACTTAGGCACGTTTATGTAAAATAGATAACAGGGGTAGTTTTAGAGAAATATTCATGCGGTGGCCGGGTGCCATGGAGACTTTAAGAGGTGGAGGAAATATATGCTGAGTTAATCACAAGCAATCACATATATCAATGTTCGCTTAGAAAAGCTTCTCAAATGACATATTTGAACTCAAAAACTAAATTCTTATGACACACACAGTTCATCTGTTGACCTCTTTTATGGGCCCATTGTCAGATATGTTTTTGTAACTTTTTTTCTGCTTTAATATTTAAAAAAAAGTTGCAGTCCTTAATAAACCGTTCATACATGACACAACGCTCTACAGTTTATTCAAGAATACAGCTATATCACTGTATATAGTCTTCACTGTCACCTGAAAAGCAGACCACTCTCCCTGTGGCCACACTTGAATGTGGGGTGAAAAACCTGTTTTTTTTTGTTCATATCCACAATTTATTATTATTTGGTTAGTATCCATTGCTTTCTGGGATTCACCAATGTTTCCTTAATTTTGAAACAAAAATGTGCAAAATGGGAATGTGAGATACTACCTTTAAGCAAATGATCTAGAGCAACAACACCTCAGACCAAACAGTAGTGGTCACAAATATGCAACAGAAAACAGCTGTTCAAAAAGAAAGTTACTTTAATTGAAATGTAAAATATACAAAAACCTGTAAAAAAAAAAAAAAAAAAGAAAGCCACACAGAAAGTGGAATGTTCAAGGAGGAAAATGAAGGTCTAAATGTTTAATGAATCATTGTTAACCTTAGTCAGGTTAATGATTAGCCTGTTGTGTAAAGTGATTATGTGTTTGTCAACAAAGTTAGCAAAAATAAACAAACAGTCATGTAGTTAAAAATCAAAACTGGCACACTGTAATGATTCCCCTTTGGATCAGCAAACTTGAGGAAGCTACAGGCGAAACACGTCGCTCACGCCTAATAAATCACTGTAAAGTCATTCCTGTGTGCGGTGGTAAATTAGGATTCTTGAATATATAACTAGTATTTGATAGAACCTAACATTACATTAATGCTACTTAAGTTTTATGTTATTAAATGTCGTTAAATAAAGTTCTTGTGGGCAAAGTGCTTCAAAACGTTGCTACAAGAGTAGACACACCTCCCTCCTGTTAGACCCTCTTATAATGATGGCTCACTGGGACACTCCAATAGAACTGAGCTGAGTAAACTGTACTTTTCCTGTTAATACTGGTGAAAATGTCTGTAATACCTAAACTATGAGCTTAGATCAAACATGCCTGCTTCAGATTGATTAAGAGGCAGCTCTTGTGGTTGCATGTAGGGTGTCAAAAACAAACCCAGAAAAAAAAAAGAAAAACACAACAAAATACGCACAATAACTAACATGGAATGGAATACGTCTGAAATTATTCATGAAACATAAGCATATAATAGAATATATAATCTGATAATTTAACAATTCCCTCTTTTTATATCACTTTTAATAAAATACACGACTAATTATGCCCAAAACATAAAAATCTATGTAACCAATATAATATCTGAGCTTCTTCTTCTATTACAAATCTGGTTTGCACTACAGTTGTGTTGTGTTGAAGTTGTATATGTTCATGCTGAAGTCAGTCAACAGAAGGCGTGCCTTTGAGAGGCGCTCAAGGCGCTTCTGAAGGTGGATTCTCTTGTTTGTTATGCCAGAGTCTTCGTGAAGCAGGACCTTGTTTTTCTCTTTGTCCTGAAGCATCTGCAGCATCTCCCTCTGCAGCTGGACAGCAGACTCCTGCAACATCTGGTAGCGGATCACCAGGGGGATCTGGTCAGCCAGACGCTGGCCAGCAATCTGTGGTTTGGAGAGGGGGAAGTAACACAAAGCTACTATCTATATCTGTTTATGTCACAAAAATATTAGTATTCAGATTATACCCGGAATTGTTAGAAAATGCCTACTCTGCTTCATTTTCTGCATTAAATGGTTGTCTACTCCTCATACATACGTCTATATGTTTAGCTTAAATAAAGGAGATGTATGCAATGGGAGGTCCACATTAAACTAGATTGTGTTTTGTTATTCTGCACTGCTGACAACTGATAAAAAGTTATTGAACTTAACTTAAGTACAGCTCTGTTTTTTTCGCCTATAATCTTATTTGTTTACAATTAGGGACATCTGCATCATAAAAACTCCTGCTGCTTTGGCTACTAGCAGTTCCTATTCACACTGTACAGACAACACTCACCTGGACAGAATATCTGAATGTCTGTTTGAAATATGATATCTAAATGATTTATTTATAATTACTGTTGTAATTAACATTTTAAACGTGAGTTGTCTGACTGAACTAATTATTACTATGATTTCACTATTTATGAAGGAATTCACTGTTTAGAGAATTGTTATTTTAAAGTGTTGCCTTTGGAGAGTTCATCATGTTGGCTGTTTTTGACAGCCATCATCATTACAGTAACAAATTAAGATAATGTTCTTGAAAATGAACTAAAATTCTTTCCCACTCTTATTCGGTGTCTAAAATGTGGGTGAACGTGTATTATAAAATGTACAACATAAAAATGACACTAACTTGGTAGTAGGATTTAAGGTGTTTTAACATCTCTTTCAGGGTGGCCCCAGTGCCATTGTTGCCCACAGTGCTACTGGTGTTCAGCTTCACTTGTGTACCCAAGCCAGTCACACCGTCCTGTAGATCTTCCCTCTTCCGCTTCCCCAACTTCTTGCTGTATGTGCTGTCCTGAGTGTAAACAATCGACTCCATCTTAAACTGGGTTCTCAGCATGGACTCTGCTACAATCTCCTTCTCCTTTCTGATGGCTTCAATCATCATCTGAAGGACATAAATATGTGTCAGTAAACATTCAACAGTGTTTAGTCAAATGTATACTGTAGCTATGGGCAATGAAAATGACACCTTGGCTGCTCGCATCAGGTTAGGGAATCCAACAAAGCTGTTTTGTGCCACCTTGAAAAGCTCTTTCTTCACAATTTCTGAAAAAAGAAAAGAAAAATCAGACATATGAGTGAAAAATACAAGATAAAATAATATCTTCAATGTATTAGATATTTGGATGTAATCTGAATATGTATGTAAACCTGCAATTATTGCATCATAATAAGACATGCCTGCCACTTCTTTGAGTTTCAGCACAGCTGGCTCTTCCAGCTGTTTGATCTGCTCCTTGACCATGCCCTCAAAGGTCTTGTAGTTGATGAAGCCCGGCAGTTCTCTTCCACGGTACTTTCGCTCATACTGAGCCACCTCTTTCTCAATATTCCAGTTGACTGCAATAGGGATACATTTGTGAAACAAAAGAAGACTTGGTTAGTAGTGGCCATTACAGCAGCCTGGAGCTAAACTAAACCTAGGTGGTTGTACAAGTTATCATTTATTTGTTATTCATATTTGAAAATGTAAAATAGAACGCATTTTTCATAGCGAGAAGAAAAATCTGTCTTACTCAATAGTTTTCTTTAAATATTAAGTCACAATTTTGTAGTATGGAAGCCATGGCCAACAAAGACATCAAAAGTGATGTAATGACGAAGTTGTTTATGCACTTACATGTTACTCCAGACCGCTCTATCATTTCTTTCCATGCTGCAAACTCTTTCCTGAGCATGGAAAAGATATTGAGCCTGACTCCAGATTTGAGTTCCTCTCCTGAGGTGAGGCTGATAGCATCCTGTGTAAATGCTGTCACTCTCTAAAATATAACAGGATCAGATATAAGAAAAGGGCAAATTAGTTTTTCAGAAGCTCAAATCCACTTTTGGTCATGAGGTGCAGTGTAAAAAGTGTCAGCTAGTAAACTCACATCAATGAGGAAACCAAGTCTCTCTGATGTGTCAGGTGGGGGTCCATTGCCATATTTGTTGAGCTCTACCTGAGTCTCTATTAGTTTCTTCTCTATCTGCTCTTCTAATCGAGGCAGAGATTTCTACAAATCACACAGGGATCACAATTTTCACACATGAAGTGGGCAAAGTAGTCTGAACTGAACTGTTAAGGTTAATACTTCACCTGGATATGATGCACCAGCTCAAGGGTGAGTTTTTCTGCCAGTTTAGGAACAGTGGCAAGACCTTCATCGTAGAGAATTCTACGGCAAAAGTACAAAGTTACTGAATTCACAACCTGTCAAAGTGCAATCCACGTTTTTATTACCCCAAAATATTGAACTTACTGGAAATGCACATGATCTTTGAAGAAGGCTTTCTCTCTTTCTATTGCTTCAGTAAGAGTAACCTTCTCTTTGATCTCCTTCTGACCCCTGCACTTGACGATCATGTAGCCCTTCCTCAGGTGGATGATCTCATTATGGACAGTGTTAACCACAGTCTCCTCCGTCCCTTTGTCCACCAGATCAGGCTTGGTCAAGATACCTGAGAGAGAGAGAGAGAGAGAGAGTGGATATTACTATATGTGGTCATTGTTCGACAGGTTGAGATCCACTTCCTCCTACTATGTAAAACATTAAATAATATAAGGAACATTTATTTTCACAAATTAAATTAAATTGTTTTTCAACCGTATATTAAGTTATTATTATAATTTTCTTACTAATTTACTAATTCTCTATTTACCTAAACTCCTCCCTCCATCAGGATCCACTTCCTTTGCCATCTTCAAAGCCTCTGTGGTTGCTATGTCCACGTTGCAAGGAACAACCACCAAGCTGATGGTTTCTTGTTTTGTGATGTACTTCTGGATCAGTCTCTTAATCTGAAAGTATTTATTCAATTCATATCAAGTATATAAAGTTAAAAACTTCACAAGAATCAAATCCCCATTGTGTTTGGTGCTGTTCTAATCAAATAATGAACGTATAATACTAAGAGTAAAGAGGTATTGCCACACTAACGGCCCCCTGAGGCTGTAATAAGCACAGGCTGTGATTTGTTATTTGAGTTGCATTAATATCCACAGAAAATTTCATGGGAAGTCAGTGATCACTTTCTGAAATATCCTGACACGAAGTGACATTTCGTGGAAATGTGATCTGTTTATGGCGCTAGGAAACCCGAGGGATAAGGACTCATCCGTTGAGGACATGACTGTTTGCACCAGATTTGATGGCAATCTGTTCAATATTGTTGAGATATGTGAAAAGTACGGAGTTCTACCTGGTCTCCAATGTTCTCTGGCTGTCCCTTTACAGCCACCCTGGCGATGCCGGGCAGGTCAATGAGCGTCAGGTCTGGAACATCAGGAGAGGCGATCTCCAGACTGATGAGGTCTTCACTGATCCCTGACCCGGGCCCAGCTATTTTATTCTGAGCTAGAGAGAGAGGACATGATGTATGATGATTGCAAAATGAAGTGCTGATCACTGAAAACTACCTTCAACCTCCTTAAATACTTTGCATTTCATAGTGACATTTAAGAATGCCATTAGTGTACCTTCTCGAATCTTTTTTTCCACATCTGCAGGGTCCTTTATATTTTCCTCAAAGCCAATGTAGGTTATCTTTCCGTACCACTCCTCTCCTTCATTCTTTCTCTTCATCTTTAGTTCGAGAGGACATCTTGTCACAATGCCTGACAAAAGTAAAAGTGAAATCCTTGTGTGTTTGGATAATTGATAAAATACCTAAAAGTCTGAGAGGTGTGTAAGAAGGAACAACTTGAATAAATGTGAAAAAACTCCCACACATTGTCTCACTTACAGCTGGTACATTTATTATAACATTTAGGAATACATGACTTTCCTCGCATATGATTTTTCATTTAATCATTCAATTTCTTAAGTCAGTCTCTTTAATTCTATACTGTATGTGACCACATAGGTCGGTCAGCAACTGATATAGTCAATAAAATCAGTTAATGAATGGGCCTTAGCATAAATGTAGTCTTTTGCTCTGTGATTGAATGAAATCATTGAATGAACAGGCCACTTTTGTTGATGTTATTTATGTCAAAGGTAAAAAGTGCTTTGTCTTTACCCTCAACTGAACACTCCCTGTCTCTATTTTTAAATATATTAAAAACTATTAAACTTCCCTCTTTTTCAGGGCCATTTTATGCCCTGATTAGATAGTGTCAGTGGAAAGATGACAGGACCCAAAGGAGGGATGTTGCAGTTTATGGTCAGAATCTTAAACTCTAAGAAGATAACAACCACATAAGATAACTGTTGGTAATAATGGAGAAATAGTTACTGTACAACATTATTACCTCATTTCTACAGATAAGGTGATGGTAAACAGAGAGTCATTTTATATACATAATATTCACTGAGAGTGACCCTGCAATACAGCACTACAATTAACTGCTGCCAGGGAATAATGTTGTTGCCTACAAGTTGGCATGGTGCCCTCACCTACACCCAGAACCTACTGTAAAACCAGCCAGGCAGGTTTGGACATTTCGACAATTTCCATAATTGATAATAGAGTATAGAGAATGGAGCATCTAGCAAGATGATGGAGGAGACAAAGACAGAGCTAGATGTAGAGTTGTAACTGTATTTCTGCTCTATTCCATTTGTATTTCATTTAATAAATCTTCATTTTATTCTATCACAATTGATGTTATTGTTTACGTCATTCTAATGCTTTTCTTTGCACTTTGAGTTGCCTTTGTTTGAAAGAGATAGATAGATAGATAGATAGATAGATAGATAGATAGATAGATAGATAGACAGTTTTGTCACTGACTGTAACTTACCACTCCCTCTCGGCAGAGCCACCCCTGACAGCGCCTCCAACACGGAGCTCTTCCCCGAGCTTTGGTCTCCAATCACGGCAATAGCAGGTAGCGCCAAGTCCTTCTCTACACCCAGAGAGCGAAGAGAGTCAATGAGGTCAATGCAGGGACGCACCTTCTCCTCATACTGCTGGTTCAGAGCGTTCATGATGATGGCTGTGTTTTAAAAAGGAATAAAACCGCTGGAGAACCGAGCTATTCACCAGCAGGAGTGTCCGTGTGGAGCCTGCAGCATCTAGAGTGAGGAAAATCGAAACTGTAACCTCTGCTTAAATGTGGAGTTAAGTTTCGTTTCCTTATCTTTCATTTCTTCTCCGGTTCATGGGACAAACAGACCGGATGATCTACAATTATGTAATGTAATTCAAAACATTCGTTTTAGATGTGGGGAAATAGAGTTATTATTGTTTGGGTAAAAATATTCTACAATATGATTTACATATTAAAAACTGCCTGGCCATTCCTCAGCTCACTATGCTTTTAGCATTAAGTGTTCTTGTTGTTTGAATAATTAATAAAATAAAATAAAACTGTAAAAAACTGAAAAAAATGATTCATTAAAAGAATATTATGATTTCTATTTACTACATCAACTGCATTCAGCATCAATCTGTAGGTCTATATTTTCTGTCTATTGCCACTTTCAGACTTTTCAGTTTCTATTCTTATTTCCTCCAATACAATTTCATTTTCGCACTGTGTGTGCTCAGGATGCTTCAGGTTTCCACATCACACTTGGGAAAGTTGCTGTTTGCAAACTGGTATGATGCATATGAAGGGTATGCATAGAAGAGTCAGAGAGGAGAGTGTGATCATTTTGACCTGGCATTAGTGCTGGATGGTAACTGCACAGTCCTTACTTACATACCGTTTTGGGGTAGGACTATATTTTTCTTTAATACTATTTAATGCAATATTGTTTATAGACAATTAACAATTAAAATGAGCACTCCATACAGTTCGCAGAGACATGTTGTGCTTTGTACTGTACATATATTTAACAGCTGGGGGTTTTGTTACCTAACAGCATATACTAGTAAAATGTAGCTGCACTACTGACCAGGTACAACATCAACATGCAGCTTCATTGGAAATAGCCACCTATAAAAAGACTGGCCTTTATACTCGAACCCCTTTGAATATGGTACTGAACTCGTAATCTCATATAGCAATTCGCACACAGCGCCTCCAACACGGAGCTCTTCCCCGAGCTTTGGTCTCCAATCACGGTGATAGCAGGCAGCGCCAAGTCCTTCTCTACACCCAGAGAGTGAAGAGAGTCAATGAGGTCAATGCAGGGACGCACCTTCTCCTCATACTGCTGGTTCAGAGTGTTCATGATGAGGACTTCTTGTCTCCTGCAGAGAAATTGTGTTTAAAAAAGGAATATAACCTCCGGATTAGAGCCCCCTGTTGAGCCTGCAAGTAGTGAAGTAGATGGAAACTACTGGGGCGAAGTGATGGAGTTCGATGAAATTTCCTCCCCCTTTATGGGATTAAGGGACAGGTTTTGTCCATGTTGAGTCTTCAACAGCTGGTACTAAATGGGGAAGGACCCCAAAAGTGCTTTACTTTTCCAGATATCCCTACCAGAGGTAGAACAAAGCACAACAATGTTTTTTATATTCTCCAAAGTCTCCCATATAGATATTGTGATCCCATAAAAAAATAAGTGCCAAATAAAGCCAGGCTGAAAGAGATGATACACCTGAACTCATTTAATTTCATAATGCAAGCTCTGATTGATTACAAATGTAGGAAATACAGTGCTACAAATGCATCCCCATCCCTTGGTTTATAAATAAATGTAGCAGGTTTAGATGATGTGACATGTGTGACCTTTAACATTAGAAAACAATGTATACATGACACACTTGTATGAGCACCCTGTATATTAGAGGAGAATGACTTTAACTGGATTTAAAAAAAACAACTGACCACAATAAGGTTTTGTTGCCACACATGTTAATTCAAACATGAACTGTTTCTTTGGCCACTCAGGATGGCAAATGGCTCGACTCTTTTTTGCACACATTGGACAAGTGTGTCTTCTCTCCCTGGTGATATCACTCATGTATTCTTCCTCTCCAATACAGTTTCCACCTTCACTGCACAACTTCTTTGGCCTTGTTCCTGTTGGTGTGAGCGCATTCATACATTCTCCATTCACCACACCTTCTGCATTCTCTCCGTATTTACTTTGATTTCAGAGTAGAAGGGCAGAGAAGCTCTGCAGCCTCCTCCGTCAGCGTCTTGTCTCTTTGTTTGACTGGTCACAGTCTGGTCGTGGCTGGGACCGGTAGAATGAGGCTCATCATAAACGCACACACACCTCTCCGACTGAGGAGGGAGTTTGTATTCGTGGTTGGTCTCGTCCTGAGGACTAGATGATGTAAACTCTTCCACTTTGATCTGAGGGTGATCAGGGTCCTTGTGGTCCTGACAGGGGCTCCAGTCTTGTTCAATGTGCTTCTGTTCATCGGGCCACCATGCTCATGAGTGATTTCAAGCGGATCTACGAGGACAAAGGGGTGACAATGTACTAAAGTTGCAAACAAGCCTACATCTATACCTGCTTTAACATTTAGTTACTGTTATCTGCATGTTCAAACTAAAGCAAAGAACATCCAGTGATGCATTAGGGAACTTCCCCCTTGTTGTTGATGGCATGCAGTGAAAACATCATCAACTGACCATGTAACATGAATGTAAATATCAACTGTATTATGAAATGATCCACTCTGATGCAGTTTGGTGGCTGCATTGTCAAATGGACATGTTGGATCTGTCAAACCCAATCAAAATATCTCAGTATATAAAGCATCTCTTTGTTATCACAAATACACAGGTTTTGGTGTTTAACACACTCCAGCACACAGATGGATATTTATTTGAGCTTACCCAATTCTCTCCTCACCTATCAGGGTTTCTTGAGGGATCTCAGCCTCCCTGGTTGACAGAGATGTTTGTATCGCACCGCCTTCAGACTCAGTTTTTATATCTGCTGTTTGTTCAACAGTTAATATTGCGAGGTGTGAGGGCGGTGTGTGACTTTCTCCTTCTACAACCTGAGAAGACATGGCGTTATGACACTGCTGCCTACAAGACGGTCCCTGCTGATCAACCCTGTGGCGTTGCTCCTCTTTAATATGCAGGGTGCTGGGGTGGTGACATGGTACATGTGGGGCCCACTCCTCCCCATGCAGCACTCAGGAAAAGCCTCCGTATCACAGCAATGAGGACTGGTCTGATCGGCTGCTGAAGGACATGAGAGTGCATAAAGGGGTGAGACTGGAGATAAAAAAAAAATCTCAATGTCAAGTGAACATTGCTTTTTTGTTTTAAAGGTCACACATGCCACAAGATCTGAATCTGATGGTTTTTCTTTACAAAACACCCTCATGAGCAGTTTTCTCAAAACATTTGATTTATTACTCATTACACTTTTTCAGAAGTAATTGTATTACATTAGTTATTACTCTCCCTGCTTAAAGTAATTAGTAACATTACTAGTTATATTACTTTTCTGCTACTCCCCGTTAAATTTCTCCCCAAAATTCAGACTTACGACAATTAAAATCCAGTTTTGTTTGTCAAAATCAAAAATCAAAGTAATAGAATATTTCCAGCTGCTGAAAGTGAATGAATCCGAAGATGTGACTGGGTTGTTGGATTTCATATCACAAGTAGTTACACTAGTTACTGGGGAAAGTCATATTATTATTACTAATAATGAGTTACAGTTTAACACTGCTCATGAGAAATAGTATAATTTTACTGACAGACTGAAGCTGAGCTGCAGCCTCATCATGGGAGCTACAATGCATCTTATAAAAGTCTTTAAAGGTCTGGTCTTTATTAGTGAGTGAAATACACACACTGGATTTCTGTAACCTGACTTCAGACCAGAGCACCAGGGTTCGCAGGTGATCTATCTCCTGCTTGGTTCTGCTCATTTCTCTGGTAAAAGTGTTGAGACAACAGGGAGAGGCCATGGTGTGTGCTCGGATGCTGCTCTGACAGACACACAGTTTACTGTCAGTGGGCGTGTGACTTCCCTGTTGTGCTCGGGTTCAGTGGGAGCGGACAGACAGACTGATGTCGCCTCCTGCTGGTCGGAGGGTGTCCACCTCCTTCCATTACTTTTGAATTATCTCATCACTAAATATGCAAACAAGACAAGAGAAAAGACACATCAATCACATTGCACTGTCGGCTGCAACTGCAACAAGCAAGAGAAAAGGAGTATTGATGCAAGAACAATTTAACCTTAGAAAAGAAGATCTCTGTGCCTTTTTTGTAACTGTAATGGATTTAGATTTAATTTAATTTAATTCACAATAAAAAAAAAAAGAATCAGTCAATCCTAACAGCCCTCTTCAAATAAAATATCCCATATCACTTCACAAATATTGGTCCATACCAGTTATCCTACAAAAACACTGGATATGCATCCTCACAAACTTCCTAATGTAAAAGGGGGTCTCCTTCCTCCCCCTCTCAGTTATTACTACCCTAAACAATACATTCAGATGCGTTCTTGTCCCACGGTATAGATGCACTACGGCCACAAGATGGCCTCATTATTACACTCTGGTTTCTGTTTTCTGTTTTCTTGTACAGTATACCACTCTTACTATTACTGCCACCACTGATAAAAATAATGACAGCTTTCATTTGTTTAGATCTTTGAACTGGTTATAAATTACAAACTGCTTCTACACATAGGAAACACTATGTACTGTAGATCTTTGGGTGCCTCTGTATACAGTTTGTTTGTCAGTGAACAGTTTAGGTTAGTTTATCCATGTTTTACATGTTTCACATAGTATTAATAATCATTATTCGATCGATTTGGAAGGGGCTTAGTTCCCAAACAATTCAGTCTCAGGAGTAACTGCTAGATTATTGTCATGTTGCTGTTTCCCACGACTGGTAAGTCATTCACCAGTGCGTAATGTTATTTTTTAGTGAGAGTATTCCTCAGGAATCTCGAGACAGCACATCTGACCTTTGTTAAACTGATAAATCAATCTAACAAAACTGTGAAAACAATAGTTTTCATTCAATGGCTTTAAAGAAAGGACATGCCCCAACAAAGCCTCTTAGCTACATGCATTAGTTGGACAATGCTGATCTATGTACATATAGGCTTGTCTTGTCTGGATAATAAGAGTAAACAAACACTTCTCATTGTACCTGACAGACTGTCATTGGCCAGCAAACATTCCTCACAGACCATCCCTGCTTCTGTTAAAACCAAGAAAGCAGGTCAAAGGTCAAGGGCCAACCACTTCTCCCAGGAAAGGGACTACAAAACATCAGGTATCTGTAACTAATGCAACAACTCTTTTTTCAGTTTCATGTACATTTTCACACAGATCAGATAAAGAGATCTGAGCAGACACATGGAGAACATTTATGGGCCAATCTGTGCATCTTTATTAGCATGAATGCCTGCAAAATATCCACACTCAGGAACTAATGCAAATGCCATTATACGGACCCATACACATTTATTATGGATGTCAGACTACACATACATACATGGGTGTTCAAACTTCTTTATTACACTGATGCAAGCCACATGCTGAGGAGGTCAAAAAACAAGGTTGCACAAGTCATGTTAATGTAAACAAACAGCAACCGAGAATTATCCTTTGAATATTACCATACAAACTGCACAGATGTTTTAAATTTGTACAAACCTGAATTGTTATAAAGTCAACAAAAGCTCAGTATTAGTATGTACAGGTGAGCCCAATATTCACTTGTTCATTTATTATCACATGGTACTGATGTGCTGTTTTTGCTGGGCTTTAGCAGTGTAAATGGATACTCGAGACATGCTTTAGAGAGGTATAATTTCTGTTTACAATTCCCCAGTGGTCTGATAATAGCATAGAAAACAGTCACAGTAATTTGTAGCAAGAGCAGCCACTTGTAAACAATGAAGGAGATCTCCCTCTGCACATGATTCAAATGAAAGTGTGATATTGCCTGTGCAGAATGAATTAATTAGTAGAAACCATGGATACAGAAACAACATGCTGCAATGCATACTGTACGTTTTTTCTTGCACAAACCCTGTGTAGTGTATTTTGCTGTATACATATTGCCTCAAGTTTTTAGACTTTCTGACGCGATCAGTGTCAGACATGATGTTGGAATGCATTTGTACTTACAAATATGACACAGAAATGTCACTACATTATATTCTGAATCTGTATCTGGATAAATATCTGGAAATACCCATTATCAAAATATAGTTCCTGTTAGCTTAAAAATGAATGCACATGTAATAATGCTGATCTAAATAAAATTTTAGAATTGACTCAGGGCAGTGTGAGTTTTGTAAACTTTCAGAGATAAAAAGGTTTGTTTTTACTAGTTTATCAGAAATCATTTTACCACACATGTACATCATGCACATAGTTGTCACCATTTTAGAAACTTGAAAATTATACAAACACTTTTCCTTCCACAACAGTGCAAACCAGTTTGAAAAAGACATCCAGTCGTAACAGAATGAATGCCGATTACCAAGCAAGAGAGAGAGAAACTGTCACTTTCAAAATACAATAAATACCACAATCAACAAACAACACCTCTGACAGAGAAGATGAAAAGACTATATTTAATAATTTTGTACAAGACCCACCAATAGCTACATGTATCTACAATGGGTGTTTTTTGACACTTTTGATGCCTTTTTTTTAATAATAATCTTTTTTTATTTTTTTGCACAGACCAATTGATAACAAACTGAGCAGAGGATGAAAGTGAATCCTTAACCTCCCCCTTATATCACCCCCTGTTTGCCCTGGTTAAAAATGTGCCTCACAAAACTGAAAAGGAACGGCTACATTTGATTGGAGTAGGAGGTGGGCCCTCCCACCTGGCTGTACTCAGACGGCTGGCCAAGGTTTCCCTGGGTGTTGTAGCTTCCTGACTGGTCAAAGCTTCCCTGGTCGTAGGGCTGCTGGTTAAAGGTGCTGGCCTGTTTCTCAGATGACCCGGCTGCTAACCTTGAAGCCCCCTTGTGCCAACCAGTCTCCTTGAAGACAAACCAGATGTTCCCAGCCCATAGAACAAAGTTGAGAAATCCAAAAACCTGAGCGAAAAAGAGAACAAAACAAAGTTTTGACTTTACCTATGTTATTTCCTGTTTTATTTTTCAGTCTCTTGTTATCCTGCCCCTCACTTGTGTATTTAGTCTTTGTTTTCCCTTGTTTCTGTGTCAGTTCATCCTGAGGGCTGTACTACGAAGCAGTAATGAAAAGGTAATAGCAATTTATGCTCCATGTCTAAACTGCTCTGAGCAGGTTAACTCACTGTTATCCTATAAACCACCTCTCCTCCACCCACAATCATGAACACTTTAATATTAGTTATGAATTTACTGTTGACAATGTGCTGCATAGTACATTCTTCATGGGAAAAATATGAAGCATATTCAAAACGTTCATATTATTTGTTTTTTTAAATATTCAAAATTCTTCTGCATATACTTTTCATTCAAAATTATATTTGGACCTTTTCAACTCCTTTATGCGCCCTCAACTTCAGATTCACCTGACAATTCAACTGCTTTCACTGCTTACACATCAAATGCCATTTTAACTGCATTCATCTCTTTCTCTTCAACTGACATTTCCACTCCTTTCAATGATCAGACACTCCAAAACCTTCGTCTCCATGTTGAACTTCAACAATAATACTTCTTCTGCTCCCACAATTTCCAGTGTTCTTACACAGTTTACTCCAACTGGTTACACTTCAGCTGACACTTCAACTGACACTAGTTTCTTTCACAGTACAGTCTTCACTTACAATTAAATATTGACACTTCAACTTCCTTCAGTGCTTACACTTAATGTTAATTTCAACTTCTTTCAGTGTTTGTATTTCGACTGACACTTCGACTGTTTCATTCATTCAACTTCAATGTTTCAACTAAACGAATTTCAGCAGTGAACATGTACATTTTTGTTAG